GTTTTTTTTTTACATTGAAAATCGTTTATTTTAACAGGGAATTTTGAAAAAAATACAGATTTTTTTGTGTCGACATTATTTACAGTTTTAGCCTGTTTTTTAGGGTAAACATTTAAATGAATTTTTTTTTCTGTGATTCTACAGGTTATTATATTTTAGGAATTTAACAAGACACGAAAATTCTGTGAAATAACAGTAAAATGCTCAAACATTACACTTACAATCTGTTCAAACACATTTGTTTTTACAGTGTAGAATACAGCAGGGTTTCATCATGAAGTGTGCTGACTAGACGTCACTGAGAACAGCACAGAACTGCTTCTTCTTTCTTAAAATGTGGTCATTTTAAATGTCAGCCAGAGGGGAAAATACTTTAATAAATTAAGCAACCGGTGCCTGTTTGTCTTTTCCTCTCAAAGATGCATTTCTCCACCTTTGTGCTCTGCCTGGGTTTGGGGGCTTTGGTCAAATGTGGTGAGTAAAATGTGTCAATTGTTTTTTTTAAAACAGAATTATTATTATTATTATTTTTAAAATCAATTAGCTTTATTCATTTATTTTCCATCTATAAGTGTGTGTAGATTATAGAATCGTAAGGACAGGATATGCAACACATTCCTCCTAATACTGATTAATTTTCTTAGAACAAGGTGTTTTTATATTCAGGATGTGAACAACTACTACTCACAGCTCATGTTTGTTATATTTCTGTTTCAGCTGCTGGGAGTGAATGGTGCTATACCGGCTGTGGTAAGTAAGGACAGATCAGTCGGATTCAGATCAAACTATAATTAGTCAGCATGAGTTTGTGGTATTAAACATGTCTCTGTCTTTCATAGAATACACCCCGTCCAAATGGAAAGACATCTCCGGCTCTTTTTGTGGAGAAAAGAGGCAGTCTCCTGTGAACATAGTCCCCAGCCATGTTGTGACTGACCCTAATCTGGGAAACTTTACCTTCGTCAACTTCTCCTCTCAGCACGCCATCAAGTCCATCGAAAACAATGGACATACGGGTACGCACACTGAGACTTCCACCTGCTTTTTTGTATCTATATTTACTGTATTTTAACACAGTTTTGCTAAACTTGTTAGTGGTGCTTTTCCCTTAGTGACCTATTTGAAAACTTCTTCAACTACTGCACAACAGACACTGTCCCATATGCAGCATGCATATTTATGACAGGATCAGTATGAAACTATTCAAACTGTAACTACATAAACATGCTTCCCCATCTTTGCCATGCATAGTGAAATGCAAACTGAAAGACAATGAAGTTGAAGTGAGTGGAGGTGGACTCAACGGAACGTACTCCGCCCTACAGTTTCACTTTCACTGGGGCGACACGAAGCATCACCCAGGTTCAGAGCACACCATTGATGGCCACAGATATCCGATGGAGGTACAGCATCACTCGACATCGTGCCGTTTTCTCTCCTTATTTTTTTTATTGCTTCTCACTTTATGTAATCTCTTGTAGATGCACATAGTCAGTCTGAGGAAGGGTCTCACTGTGCAGGAGGCCATAGAGAAGTCAGATGGAATCGCCGTTCTTGGATTCTTCATAAACGTATGTCTGTCAAAGTTTACTCCACAGACACGTCTCTGCATTGTTGAGTGTTAAATGAAAAGTTTTTATGGAAACTGTTCCTCTTGTATTTACATCATTCGCTCTTTGGGACTAGGCCACACTTGAGTGATGAGGTTTACATCCACCCAGAGTTTCCCACTTTGACACCACAGTTCATGCACCGTCTCCATGATGCTTGCATGTTAGCAAGTCCCTCAATCACTGATGACTGTACTCTCCCTACATTCTGCAACAGAAACATGTGCAAAGCAACTGAGTTATTTATGTCTTCTCCCTAAAGGCAACTGAAGATGGAAATATGTCAGGGCCATGGAGCATGCTCACATCTTACCTAAAAAATGTCACAGGTATGACTAGTTTTTCTTTACATCGTTAAGATTTGGATTCTTGGAGTGCAGCGGGTTGTAATAATTGACCTAGTATTTACTAATGCGGGATGCTTTAAGGTTTTGCTTCCAGATCATTGCTTATGTTTTGCCAAGGGACAAATATCTTACACTACTACTCTACACTATCCATTAGTTAGCACCAGGAGACGCATAAAGTTGTAACATTTTTTATTGTGAGAAATGACACACCAGATCATAAGAGGTTAGAGCTTTGTAATTGAAGTAACTCCTCCACTCAGATTGGTTTCATAGCCATCTGTATTGGTATGTCCGTGCTGATTCTCCATCATCCAGTTCACGGTAAAGCCAAGAGCTTCAGTAGAAGGCAGCCTGACTTCTATGGAGGAACTCAAGACCAAGTTCTAAGTACCTGATACGTGGTGCCTCAGACCCGTTCTGTTTAGAGATGGTTTGGTTTAACATGAATGGATTTTCTCTCTCAAACCATGTGTCCTTTCTGCTGTCATCAAAGGAGAGAGTTGTTTTCTGACTACTCTCATCATCTAAGAAATGGACACACCCTTGACTACAGCCATGTTCAGATTTTTTTTTTTTACAAATGGTTTCAGAAAGAGGTTAAGAAAACCCATCTGTGTTACACTGGAGCAGCCATCTGTAAACAGAGGAAGGGGTCTATGACACCACTCATCAGGTACTTATAATGCAGTTTTGAGATCTCCCCCATTAGCACTTGAATCATCCCTCATCTGGCAATTTCTCAACTGTTCAGACCTCAAGGCATGTCAATGGAATTATCAGCGGGCCATCCGCTTTGTAATTTGGGGGTGACTAATCATACTGGGACTCCTCTAGAGTCAGTTAAAACTGAAGAAGCCTCTTGGATAAGAGATGAAAGGTCTTTAAGAACATTTAAAAAAATGAGGTCTGGTTGCCTTCTCCTGAAGCTTTAGGATCTTTGTTTGTGATTCCTGTAACTTATAAAAGAGACATTTAAACTGAGATTCATGTGTTTTTATTTTTAATGTCACGTTATAAATGTAAGAGTCATCAAGCAAAATTCATGCAGGTGAGATTGAGAGTGAGCCTGATGGAATATACGTCACAAAGTCTGCAACAGTCAGTCCATTGTTTTTTAATTCCTGATCATATTCAAGGCAAGAACTTCAGGAAGCTGTTGTTTTTTTTTCAAGCCCACATGATTTTCTTTTACCCGCAGCTTTTTTATGTTACATCTTCCCACAGACGAGGGTGATGAGGTTAACATAAACCACAACATCTCCATTTATGACCTGATTGGAAATGTAGACATGACAAAGTTCTACCGGTACATGGGCTCCCTGACCACACCCAGCTGCAACGAAGCAGTCGCGTGGACGGTGTTTCAAGAGCCAATCAACATCCATAAAGATCTGGTAAGTTGGGCTGAATTTTCCGGGACAAAGGGGAGAAAAGGCCATGTTTAGTCAGCACATATCCCCAGCAGAAAGCGAAACATGTCCGCTTGATTACGCCTGTGAACAACCTAACCAATCCAGGCGGCAGTGTTACGAAATGGACAGGAAACTTAGAATTTCCGTGTGTTGCCTACATCAGAATAATAAATGTATTCATTTGTTACATACTTCCAATGAACAGCCAAACCCATAAATGACCTGTGACAATTGGAATCACACACAACCTGTTACACAAGCACCCGTAGATGTGGCGTCGCAAGAAAACATTGACAAGCGACTGGACATACTGGTGTCTGCTTTTGATAGCTGTTTGATAGTGACACTCGCTGTAGTTTCTGTTGACTGCGACAGCAGGCAAACATGTTTGGCGTGCTGCATGTGACTGGAAAAAGAAGAGATCATTTTGAGTCATGTTGCAGAAGGATAATCTTTTTCTTCATCTTATCTACCTGACAGACATCATCACTCTGTAGATAAGGGAGGGACACATATTTTTGTATGTGGTTTGTTCTTGGCAACATGCGGGGCCTCAACAGGTGCACCACTAGCGTCTCCTAAACAGTTAGAACATGCATATTTCACATTTTAACTCATTGTGGGCACATTTTTCAATGCCGCATAAACTTGTGCACCCTTATGGCTAGAAGCGAGGAGACCACAAAAATGTCTCTCTATGTAGTAAAGCACCAATATAATGTCATGAATCATAAATAAGACAAAAACAAAAGTTCAATTTCTTAGATTTTTTTGATTTCAGGATCTTTGGAAAGAAAAAACAGCTGTGGTTCTACATACCACAGATGTTTAACTGTTTACACTTCTACAATTTCTATAAAGTGGTTGTTTTCTACGCCTCTACTTTAGAATTATATTTCAACATGCTGTATGTACCTTCCAGCAACTTGATGACAACTTACTCCTTTAATCCTTAACTTTAATCCTTTCTGGATATACAGTATATTTTAGAATTCTATTTTTTTTTTGCTTTCAGTCTCAAATTTGTTTCCATGCTTGGACAACAGCTACTGAACCTGGTGCAAATGGTTTATATTTGGTGAATTTTTTAACGAGACATGCAAAATAAAGTGATTCTGATGATTTTTTTAAAAAATTAGATGTGGTTGTTTTTCTGATGGAACCACACATCACATATAATTAGTCAAAGAACAGGACCACAGGAAAGTTGGAAACCCAATGATTCATTGTCTTACTCTAATTAATGGTGTAATTTTGGGGATTTTTTCAAAAGATAACACTCCTTTCAAACCCTTCCGCTGGGTTTTGTGGTCCAGAGGGTTAAACGATTCAGTTTAAAATGCCAAAAGATACGTTTTTGTGTGTGAGATCAAGAATGTGTTTGTCTTTTTTTGTGTGTGTAAAAAAGCACTGTAGTCTGCGTTCTCTGGTAGGACAGCTAAATGACAGAAACATGAAACCTACCAGGAACGGGCCCAGTGGAACTCCACCGATTTTACGCATCAGTTTGTTCACGAGTGCTGGTCAGTGCTGGTGCATTTCCGGAAATGTTGTAGACAGTTTTGTGTGGCTACCGAAGGAGCTGGAATGCAACTCATTTGAAGGTGTTTGAAAATGACAAAAATCTGGGTGTGCTGATCCAAAAAGAAGCAAAGTCACCAGACCCGGAACCTGTTCCTTATCTGTGCTGGAGGCCTGTGTCTCTTGGCTCCAGTGGTCACTATTAGCATAACACATCCAGTCTCAGATTGAACTGTTGGTGGTTGGGTTACATAATAGGAAACATAGTCTGCCACTGCTATAGGACTCTTTTAAGCCAAACCCCCTGTAATAAGAATCTTGAAAATTAACACGTAGAAGAGCAGAAAGCCAAAAAGTTTATACAAACTGACACAAAAGCTGTCACATAAAAAAAGGTCAGGCCATTTTCAAAGGGAGAATTGCTACCTCAGGTTACCTTTACAGCGTTATGTTATAAATAGTGCTCTGTGCTGACAACAAAGTATGGGCCCTTTGACTCTGCTGGGGGGGTTGTGGTAACTTAACTGCTGTGGGGATGGGAGGGATCTCTCTATGCTGCTAGTGCATAACTTCAAGTCTTATTTGTGACCATATCATCCAGGTTCTTGCTCCAAATGGGCCTGTGGGGGGTGACTCACACAGTTTTGCATTTAAGCATTGATGATCTTCTTTTGGCAATGACTTAAAACTCTTTTTGGTTGCTATGGCTCCTCTCAGGTTCAGCTGTTTCCCCAGGATGCAGGCCTCACTAACGTCTTTCGACCTACACAACCGCTGAATGGGCGTCAAGTGTTTGCCTCACCTGCAACCCCTCTACCTCCCAGTGAGTTGGAAAACCAGACACATTCACTGCATGAACCATGATAGTTGGCACATTAAATATGTTTGTCCTCCTATTCTTTAGGTCCTCCATGGTGCTATGATGATCACTGTGGTATGTGTCAACAAAACTGTAATTGAGAGTTTCAAAGCGACGCTGCTGTAGGCATTAGGATGTAAACATTTACCTCTCTACCACTAGATTACACTCCATCTAAATGGCACCTCCTGCCTCAGTCCTACTGTGGAGGCGAACGCCAGTCACCCATCAACATTGAGACAAAGAATGCTAAGACTGACATCCACCTTGATGAGTTCACGTTTACAAAGTTTGACGACAAGCACGCCATCAAGTATATCACCAACACAGGCCATGCAGGTCGGAATCTTTTCTTTCATTATATGGGTGGATGTTTTGGATGTGTTTGAGACTGAATTTGCTAACAGGACAAACTTTAAGAACATTTAAATTTGTGTAATCTTATGACCTACAGTTGACTATTTGCCCTGGAGTCAGCGCTGAAATGTGAGCTGTATCTTTAGAAATGGAGAACATTTTAGGCATAATTGTTCATGCAGTCCATTTGTACATTCGCATTTCTTCATCTGCACTGCCATTAAAAAGTATTCAACACGGCTGGAAGTTTGGCCCTTGTAACTAATTGCAGCATTGAATTGTGGTCAATTAAATTTTGCTTTTTGGAAAAAAAAATTACCAAAAAAAAAGACTCTCATGTCAAACACACAAATTGCCTGCCCTTGTGTCAGATTAGGTGAGACACTTTAAACGGGGTGACTACTTATGCAATTACTTCTTTGTTTTTAATTATTTGGCATTATCTTGTAGAAATCTGTTTTCACTTTGGCATGAAAGAGTCGTTTTTGGGGGTAAATTCTTGTTAAGGAAAAAAAAAATTATACTGATCACGATTCAAGTTCAAAAGTGTGAAAAAGAGAAAACTTGCAGGAGGGTTGAATCCGTTTAATAGGCACCATAGTTGAAAGGAATGAGAGTAAAGATGCATGTCTGTACATCTTGTGTCCTCTTTGAACTCCCAGTGAAGTGTGTCTTGAAGGACAATTTGGTGGAATTGTCAGGGGGAGGTTTGGGACACGTCTACTCCACCCTTCAGTTCCACTTTCACTGGGGAACCACATCACATGACTCCAAGGGTTCAGAGCACACTGTGGATTCAAAAAGATACCCAATGGAGGTAAAAGCTCGAAAGCTCTGATTTGTTGCAATGTTACAGCATTGTTCTCTAATACCTTTATTCCATTAAGTGTGTGTTTTGTCCAGATGCATATAGTGAGCAAGAGAAAAGATCTAACCCTGGAGGCCGCAATTAAGACTCCTAACGGGCTGGCGGTGCTGGGGTTCTTTATTGAGGTAAGGTTCAGTCTACTAGTAGTAGAGCTGTGCTATGGTGGCTGTTAAACACTTCAAAAACTTTATGACAATCCGGAATGAGGGCTTACAAACAACTTGGCAAACAAGCTTTAGTGAAAATATACAACATGAAAATGGAGAGGAAAAAGCCCACCAAACCTGTTCCAACAAGCAGCCTGAGGTCCATCACTGAACAGGTGAACTCCCTAACGGCGACATATCAGCATTTCATCTCTCGTGAAACAAATATATACCTCCCCTCATCCATCTTGAGACATTCTACGCACATATTTACATGAGATGGAAGTTTAAGTACTGAACCTCACCTTCATACACGCTGTTCATTCAGTTGTTCAATTCACAGTGTGGTTCATGCCTGATTTCAAGTTTGCTAAAAAAGCATTTGGGAATGGAAATCTCTCTATTGTGTGTTTTGTATAAGCCATGTCAATACAAGCTCTGCTATTCTTCATACAAGTGGTATACATAAATATTTGAATTAGTTCAAGGAATTTACATTGATTCCTACACGAGAAACTCAAGATTTCTTAACGTAAATTTGACGTTGAATAAAGTGAATCTATTTCTTGATGTCTATTTTTCAGTCCAAGGTTACAACCAAAAGTAGCAGTAGCAGCTCAGGACATGAGACGGTAAGTAGTTTAGCTTTCTTGCCCAAATTTTTTTTATTTTAAGAGCTGAATGTGCTTCTCCACAATGTAAATCTCCTGATTATTCACCAAATTCGTAGACAAATCCTTCTTCAAGTTCAGCATCCAGCATGGAATACTGGAAAAAACTGACCGACCACCTCCATGCTATTCAAAACATCAGTAAGTGCACACTTGTTTTATTAAATATAAACGCAAAACTAATCTATTGGGACACATGTCAATATTTACATGTACACAAATGATCTCCATTTTGCTTCAATGTAGGCTCTAATGTCAGCGTCACAGCAGAGCTCTCTATTGATGACTTGCTTGGCAGTGTGAGTCGAAAGTCATACTTCCGCTACAATGGCTCCCTGACAACCCCGTCATGCAATGAAGCAGTGGTTTGGACAGTCTTTAAAGAGTCTATCGAGGTGGACGAAAGCCTGGTGAGTGTTACTCCTCATCTAGGTGCTGTAGGCTCATCAAACAGCCTTTTTTCCTCAATCAGAAGCCTTTATACAAACAGTCAGAAGCAGCCCTTGAATGAAAAACATATCTGGCCTTGCTTTGTGCCTTTCTTTGTGCTTTGCCACTCAAACATAATTCTTGAGTCCAGCAATCAATATATATATAAATATATTTATGTATTCTGGGGATTGTGTAAAGTGTTGATTAACAATACGGAGCAAACCATTCAGTGTTATTGAAATATTGATGAAGGGAATACTTGATCATGTGGTACACTGGAAGAAACAGACACATATACTATACTATACTGTACTGTACTGTACTATACTATACTATACTATACTATACTATACTATACTATACTATACTATACTATAAACTTTACCTAATTCACAGGACAATCAGAAATGACTACAGTAAGCTAAAGACTAGATTAGACTGAAAGGCAGAGTTGGCAAAGATTATTTAACATCAAAGGGATGCACACATGGTTGCACATCACTGATGACTGAGTTTACATTTCTGACTTTTGCTTGAGTGAAACATGAGGAAGTTTACACTGACATCAACTGGAACAGATTCATGTGTACTGGCCTGAAAAAAATACAGTTACTTCAAAATGTATTCAGTGTTATTGTGGAGTAGATTTTAGATCAATAACATTGGCTTTTCATTTTCTCATTTGTTTTTTTTTTTTTTTAACAAACGTGTTCAGATCTTTACTGCAGTTTTCCACATAAAGATCAGTGACAAGAAGGTTTTTAAACAAGGAGGTGACCAGAGACCCAACAGTCAGTCTAACAGACTTTCAGAAGTCCTCTGAAGAGATGGGAGACCCGGCTAAAAGCACAATCATCTTAGCAGCATGATATCAGTCAGTTGTTTATGGTTGTTTATGAGCAACTCGACAGATTCCCCTCTGAGTAAAATCCATGTGACAGCCCACTTATTGTGAATAAACTACTTCAAACAGTCACGGAGAGCATGAGGAAAAAGATTTGCACATCTGATAAATCAAAAAAGATTTGGGCAGAACTCCAAATGCTGTTTTCAGCCAACACGTGGTACTGCTCGTCTCCTGGCTAGTGATATCTCTACAGTGAGGCATGGTGGTGGCAGCATCATGCTGTCAGAGTGCAAACGGAGAGACTGGTCAGTGTTAAGGAAGAGATGAATGCAGCCAAATACAAAGAGGCGAAAATCTGCTCCAGAATGCAGTGACCTGGGACTGGGGAGAAAGAATCTTTCGCCATTCAGCACAACAATGAACCAAAGCGAACAGCCACGATCAAGCTGGTGTGGCTTCAGGACAAGTTACTGACTGTCCTTGAGCGGCTTAGCAAAAGGTCAGACTTAAACCCATCAGAACATCTGTGTAGAGACCTCACAGATGCTTCCCATCTTCCCATGAAGCCATAACTGTTGCCAAAGGGGCTTTGACAAAGTTTTGAAACAAGAGAATTACTTTTTTTAAAATTTTAATGTGAAAACAAAGCTAAATACATGTTTTCCTTTGTCATTATGGGTCAAAACAATTCAATTCAATTCAATTTTGTTTATATTGCGGCAATTCTCAACATATATCATCTCATAACACTCAACATAGTAAGGTGAAGACCTTACGAATTTTAAACAGAGAACAGAGAACCTAACAATCCAAAGCTACCTTTGAATTCCCTATGAGCAAGTATTTGGTGACAGTGAGAAGGAACCCAAAGAAACACCCAAAAACCTTTAACTGGGAGGAAAAAAAAAAAAAGAAAAATTCAGACAGAACCAGGCCCAGGGAAGGCAACCATCTGCCTGGTCTGGTTAGGGTGAGGGAGTGGTCACTGATAATAACTTTAATAACAACTTTGTTCATTTAAAATTAAATTTACACTATAAAATGCACTATAAATAAAGTTTTATTTTTATTTTTTAAAAATGGATGCAAGAATCCAAAAGTGTCAAAAGTCATTACTTAAATTTCAGTTAAATTTCAAACTCAAGAGCTGGATTTTAAAGCTACATCCAAACTCGTGAGTGCTCTCGTGAATACAGATCCCTGATTTGACTGGGGATCTCTGTAATCTGTGAGAAACACATGACAGGGTGACTAAACTGTACATTTTGTCACAATCTTTTACGATCTGTAAACAGCGACAGCATTATAGCGTCACCAGGATGGGGAACCTCTCTTCTTGGTCTCTCTTGTCATGTCACATCGTACGTACGTACGTGACAAGCTTCGCTATCGTAACAGGTTCTACTGCTTGGTTAGGTTCATAAGTGCAGAGAGATAATGATCAAATAACAATGTGTACAACAGATACTGCTAATTATTTCTTTACCTCCACTAGATGAAGATGTTCCCGACTTATGCAGGCTACAATGACGTGTTTCGGCCCTCACAGCGTCTTCATAGTAGGACAATCTTCACCACATCAGCTTCGACTTCCCCTGGACCCATCCTAATGTCTCTGCTGCTGGCAAGCCTCTGTGCCATTTTTCTGTAATTTGGATCTGTGAAGAACGAGTGAGAGGAACATACATTGCACTAATTATTTATCTTTTTGTGTTAGCAATAGACCATAAAAGTGATTTCACTGGTGATGTCTTTAGAATAATCTTTACTTTGATTTATTGCTACATGGTTGATTAAACTATGGGCTGTTATCCACTGTCTGCTGTGCTGTTAAAATTTATATATTAAAATGACAAGCTTACTAAACTTTGGTTGAAGCTACATCTCAGATAATTCAATATGTTGCCTAGCCATTAATTTCTAAATGTTAACATTAGTTTAGTGTTGTTTTTTTAATGGAATGTGTTGACCACACAAAAGAAAGAGAGAGAGAAGAAAAAATGTGTTGCGTTGAGTGATGTTGTGATTCAGCAGTGAGAAATGTATTCTTGTAACAGACAAATAAAATTAAATGCCACTGGTGTTGTTTAAAAGAGAAATCTTTCCAGAATTTTTGTTGCTTATCTTTGATGGTTTCTGGCAACCGGCTGGAAGCATCACATCAATTATGGTTTATTATTTTTCAGTATTATATCATGAACAGAATGACAAGTTTGTCGTCATCTCATCAGATCAGTATCAATCATATAGAATCACTGCAGCATGTAAAGAGTTCATTTGCAAAAACAGACAACTCCATTTTTGAAGATTTTCAGAAAACATATTTTGTTGTTTGCTTGAGATGATATCAATAAAACTGAGTGGATTTGACTCAGTAGAAATGACATGACAACAATAGAGATAACCTAAGTTTGATTGATATTGTCTCAGGTAGACGATGGAACAGTGGGTTTTCTGAAGGTTTGTGAAGATGGAGTTCTCTGTTTTCATATATCACCCACTTTATTTGATTTTTGTAATTTTTTTTCCCTTTATTGTATAGGGAAGTGGAGAGGGAGACAGGAAGGTATGGAGAGCTGCAGTAATCATTAGAAAGTGTACGCTGGTGGGACAAATGTAAAATATAATGTATGTACCAGGCTTCTTAAATCAATTAGGACTGACCTGCCAGAGGGACAGTGGCAACAAGCACAAAACCTGAAGTTACCAAAAGATAAGTTGCTAACTAAAACTCAACTACAGATGAAGGTTTAACATTTGATTTGAAGGCCTCCAGTGACCCTCTGATGCCAGCAGCTTGTTCCAGAGGTTTAGGGTTTGAAGGACACGTGAGTAATGACGACTTTCTAACTGTCCAGACAGACAGGAGCCTTGCCATGTGACACTGGAGATGGAACAAAAAGTGTTTGAAGGATGTCAGACAGGTCTGCAGGGACATTCCCATTTACAAGTTGTTGGTGTGATTTTACATTTCCGTGGCTCTGAGATTGGTAGAGTTTATCCTTTCAGACTGTTTTTCTGCTGTACTGTGAGTTTGTTTTTCAAGGAGAGAAAAAAAAAATGCCAAAAATTGTCTGTAGGTGAGATGAGCACCCAGTCTGCTGTAACCAAAATGATCCTTTAAGAAGAAGATGTCTCACTCTGATAGCTTTTGAACAGTTTTTACCGTGAAATTAGCTGAAATTATTTGTAGCTTTTGAACTAACTTATCACTCTTATGAAATTATTAATGTCTCTGACTCAAAGACACGACAGCCCGTATTTGCGAATAAGGAATTTAACTCCTGAATGCTAATCTAATCTGTAATCTTATTTCACTGACATGACACAGCATTAAGTCAATCTGGATAAGGACATATGCCCAGAATCACAGCAACATGTTCACAAATTTAAAAACAAGGTACAGAGAGCTGCTGTAAAGAAGTTGTATGCTTGTTGAACTGTGATTTAACTGGTACTTATTTGTCCACCAGTTATAAAATGGAATCACAGTACTTCCCTGAGCAGGTTGCCTATCCAGCAAATCTGTGTGATCTTAAAATGAAACCACGTGACAAGTTGGAAGAGAGGAATCATCATTAGGTGGAGCTAGCAACAGGCCATGTGAGAGGTGACCCGACTACACACTTCCTTTCGTATTTCGTCGGAAGGTAAATAGATTGTAAACTACAGGTTTAATCTTTAACAGTGTGCTGTAGTATGTTGCATCGTCCATTGTGTAAAATCTAGAGAGTGGCTTTATAATATAATGGAAATATTGAAGTAGATTACAAGTATCTCAAAATGCAATACTTTAGAAAGGTAGCTACTTCCACTACCAGAAATAGAGCAGGTTTTTTTTTTCTGCCGGGGTTGGTGCGAGGTAAGAAAAAGTCACACAGTCAGCTTTGTGTTAGCAAACTCTGAATTAACTCATAAATCATCATGATTAGGTAATAAAAGACATCAGAGAACACATATGATCCAGTAACCCAGAGTTCCAGAGCACGTCAGTCCTGTTGATCAACATCCTTGACCAGCTGAATCACTAAATGTAAGGGCTGCTGTTATCAAGAACCTCAGCTGATCAGGAAGCCACGCCATGAACAAACCTTTTGAAATGTAGACTGGGCAGAATTATACACACGCTAGTTAAACCAGCCAACCCCACCTCGGCTCACTGACATTACTAATGTTTGAGATGTTGAGTACGACTGAACTGTAAGTCACCTTGACTAAAACCTCTGCCAAAATAAAGTAAAGTAAGGTCATCAAAGGTACACTCATGTGTGCACAGCTTTTTAACCCCTTTCAACTCAGTATTCTTTGTTTTTAATATAATCCTATACAGGATGTATGGTTTGTTCACAGATGCCGTCTGGTTTCCAATAAACCATCATTAGGATGTGGTGAGTTTGGAGGCCAGGGCAGAACTTTGGGCTCTTTGCTGTGTTCCTTGAGCAGTTATGGAGTAGTTTTTGCAGTGTGGCGAAGTTTATTGTCCTGCTGAGGGAGGCCGCTGGCATGAGGGAGGGTTGTTGCCATGTGTGCACTAAAATCTGACAAATTACCTGTGTCAGAGAAGCTTAAGAGAGATTTAGCATCAGTTTTAAAAAATGACATGCCAGGTGGCGCATGAGAAGAGAAAGCTGCTTGTGTGCAGAGTCTCTGCATTTTGTCTGCTGCTTGCAGCTTCAACTGTTGCTGACAAAACATTTTAACAGAGTTACTACTCTAATGGAAAGGCATCGTAAGGTTGCCTAAGGGATGAATGGTTTATGCTGCTCCTTATTGATAACTCACAGCACTGCTGGTAACATACTGTGTGCACCACTATTTTTGGACGGAGGTTGTCCTTCCATCCATATAATTAGCTATTGCTCTAAAAACTTTGCACTGCTCCTCCAGAATAGCTAATTAAATAAATGTAACATAGCACTCTGTTTAGATTCTCAGATCTTGGTAATCGTAAGAACTTCAATTGAAGGCAATTAAACTCTTTTTGTTTTGGTTTCTGAGCATATTTCACCACTCATCCAAGAGGCCTCAGCTGTACCTGCCTGACAGGGTGTCCCACATATACAAGGTGTGTCAGAAAACTTCCAGGACTGGTGTCACAAAAGATACACTTCAGATCCAAACGACAAACTACAAGATTTCCCTTCGACGTAATCCCCCTGGAGTCTAACACACTTTCCCAGCCTTCTCTGCCACGCCGCCATGCACTCCTGGAAGGATTCTTCTGGGATCCTCCACAGCTCCGTCATCACAGCCATCTTGATGTCGTCCACATCTTCAAAACTGGTCCCCTTGATGACCCCCTTGAGCTTGGGGAAGAGGAAAAAATCTTTCGGAGCCAGGTGGGGTGAGTAGGGAGGTTGCTCCAGCACGGTGATGTTCTTCTCAGCCAGGAACTGTGGGATGCTCAGGGCGTTGTGAGCAGGTGTGTTGTCATGGTGAAGCAGCCACGACTTGTCCTGCCACAACTATTGGCTCTTCTCATGCACTGAATGGATCAAACGCCGCAGGATCTCTTTGTAGATGTGCTGGTTGATGGTCTGAAAGGGAAAACTCGTAGTTTGTAGTTTGGGTTTCAAATATATCTTTTATGACACCAGTCCTGGAACTTTTCTGACACACCTCGTATACTGTCACCCCCAAATGCATGGCTAGTGGCCCAACAGTGATCCAAGACTGGTAATGATGGTCAAACTTCATGGGGAGAGATCTCAAGACTACATTATAGATACCTGATAAATGGTATTGTAGACTCCCTCCTCTGTTTGAAGATGGCTGTTCCTGTCCAACATAGATGTCTTTCTTCACTCCTCTCTCAAACCGTCTATCTTCCCTGTCCAGAATGTGAACACTGTGTTCAACAAAGATGTGTCCCTTGTCGCCTAGAAGCAGATAGATGGCTGGGTTTTGTCCTGCGTATAGCTGGCTCTTTGGTGCTGAGAGATGCATTTGTTGAATAGTTAGTTAGTCTCTCCCATAAATAGGTCTTTGCACTCCTCACTGCACTGGACTGCAAAGTTGCTCCATTTCTATTTGTGTGTTTTATCATTGGGGTGAACCTTTGTTTGTACGAGTCTTGCTGAGTGTCAAGTGCACTGGTATGTTGCATTTGCATAAAATCCTTTTACGTTTCATAGATGCAGTAGTCACTGTATAAACAGAATCTCAATGTTGTTCCACCTGTTCATCCTTTCTTCTCTGCTTGATGTGGTGTGTTTTTTCTTTATCTCTGCTGACACACGAAAGCCTTTTTGGGAAGTGAACGTTTTCTTAAGAGACTTAAAAGAACAACATCAAACAGAGAAGAAGCCAAGAACAGGTGGAACAACATCGTCATTCCATATGGAGCCATATGAGTGTGAGAAACTTAGAAGGATGTTCTATAAGGGCAACACTATGAGAGCAAACTGATTCACCCTAAAAATAAAACAATCAAACATCACATCAAACTGGGCGGCTGTGGCTCAGGTGGTAGAGCGAGTCGGTCGATGATCGGAAGGTCGGCGATTCGATTCCACCCTGTAACCTGTTTCATGGTCGTTGTGTCCTTGGGCAAGACACTTCACCCACCTTGCCTGGTGTGAATGCGTATGAATGGATTGTTTGAGGTGGTGGTCGGAGGAGCGAATGGCAGCCACGCCTCTGTCAGTCTGCCCCAAGGCAGCTGTGGCTACAAGCGTAGCTACCACCACCAGAATGAATGTGTGTGAATGAATAGTTGACAGAGTAAAATGTCTTTGAGTGTCCAGAAAAGCGCTCTATAAATCTGATCAATTATTATTATTATTATAAGCTGAGTAATGTTGTATATGCATTTCAGTACAGTGAGGAGTGCAAAGATGTATATGCAGGGGAGACTAAACAACCGTTTTTACAAATGCATGGCATGAAAACACAGGAGAGCTGCTCTCCAGGACACGACGACACCCGCTCCACCTATGTCTAAAGAATCTAAGGGGACACTTCTTTAAGGATAGCAAAATTCACATCTACACAGCAAAGACAGATGGTTTGAGAGGAGTGGAAAGAATCCCTCCAATAAATCAAGACATCCATCCCTAAACAGCTGAGAGATCTCAACACCAACTATCAGCTACTTCTAAGGCAGTTTTGAGATCTTTTACCACCATTAGTCTCCTCTCTCAGCTGCAAGTTCTGCAACATCTTGAGGCACAGAAGGTTGTAAATGGGACACTGGCCACATGATTTGGGGGTGACATTATATATCTGGGATTCCCCATCATTCAGTTAGAACTAAAGAAGCCTCTTGGAAGAAAGGAGAAATGTCTTCAGGATCTAAAAAGTTAAGTTTAGTTGTCTTCCATTGAAACTCATAATGTAGCAGAACAGATCGGTAATTAATTATATAAATATACATGTAATTATACAAGGTGCTCTGAACTTCAGGGGAGCCATGAGCTTGTCTCCTCTTAATAAGATATGAACTGAAAACATGATTTGCTAAATTTTGGGGGTCTCTCTAAAATATCAACAGCAGCAATGTTGTTTCTGCCATTTCTCTGTTTCTGTATGGATCGTGCATTAAATCAGGCCGATGTATGATTCATACATGTGGGTGATGAATCAGTGACTCACTTTAATAAAGATACCAGCTTGCATCCTATTCCTGTAATCATCATTGAAACGGGGGAATGGTGCAACGTCAAGAACTTAAACTGCTTAAAGATCAGAGAAAAACATGCTTTCTTGATGCCAGCCTCTGTATAACAAAACAGAACAAATCTAACGTTTTGTGGTGCTGAAATGAAGTAGCTGTGGCTACTTTTCATATTCGTATTAATATGGATATTGAAGAGAAAAAGTTAAATCAAAAACCTCATAAATGTTGTTCGTGACCATAAAAACTGAAATCAGTGAGCTCCTCCAGGAGCCATGGTGCACTGCTTAAAAACAGAGCTATCAGTCCGTCAAGGTGCATCTCCATCGTGCTCAAGATATTTTACATCTTGAAGCTTTAGGCAACACCATTCAAGCTCCCCATGGCTCCCCTGAAGCTGACAGACAAAGGACACTGTTTTGAAGACAACAACGTACAGATTTTGGCCAGGGAGGACAGATGGTTTGAGAGAGGGGTGAAAGAAGCCATCCATGTCAAACTGGACAGACCATCCCTCAACAGAGGTGGAGGTCTGATGCATCATCTCTCCCCTGTTTACAATTCAGTCCTAAGAACTCTACTCAGGAAGGTGAAACCACATTCACACCTCGCCACAAAAGAGCTTAATGAACCCCTTTGTGGCAGGGGGAGTACGAGCAACTCGCATAACAAGAGGGAGGAACAAAATACCCCCAACTGAAACCGAAACTCAGTGTTAATGACTCCTTTAGGATGTAAGTATCTGGAACTCCCAACTAGTCAGTCAGGACTGATGAAGCCTCTTGGATGAGAGGTGGAACGTCTTCAAGGAACTCAAGCAAGTCCAGCTGCTACGATTAATCTACCAGAAGACATTCAAACTCAACCTCGTTCTCATAGAGCATCATCTCATAGCTGCTGATGGATATTTCATGGGTCAAAAGTTCAAATGCCAAAGGTCAAGAATGAAAGAGTGACATTCTTTGTCGGAATGTATCGACCTTTGCTTACTGAATTTGACTGCATGCTGCAGGAATGCACGCAGCTTGTAGTTAAGATGCCATCTCTTGTCCATTCTCATCTCAGCCACTGTTGGACTGGTTTGACTATACCAGAGCCAATGGTCTGTTTAGAAAGACACACAGAGTTCAGAAGAAGTTAAAGAATTGAACCAAACATGCTCCTGCTCTCTGTTGAGATTACAAGGCAAACTGAGGCTTCGGACTACTACCTTATGAGATGCTGAATTCTCTGGATGATTCTCAGGGTGAGGCAGGTGTGCAAGCTCCTGACCTTTCACATGTCCTTGAAGTACCTGTTTTTTAGGTTTGAAAACTTTTTTTTTTCTTATTATACAGGAATGGGAAGCAAAAACAAAATTGGAGGTAGAAAACAACAACTTCCAAAAACCCCCAAAACACATGGAGCTGCTTTTATAAATTGATATCTTTTGCTGTCACTTATTTGTAAAACAATGATTCTCAAACTGTTTCAGCCTGTTAGCAAGATATCCACACTACCACTGATCCCCACATAAATCCTTCAGTATCACTTCTGCTCAGCATTTTTTCCCCCTGATCATCCCTGCAGGCGCTATTCACACCTTACAGAGAAACCTGCCCCCCACTTTGAGATCCATTGACCTACAATGTGAAACTTCCTGGCAGCTGTTAAATCAGTGCAAAACTCGTTTTGTTAGCTTAAATCTCACGGTATGCCCCCAGGTTGTTGTTTTTTTTTTTAATTCTAAGAAAAAGTTAAATATGTGGTGTGTTCACAATAAGTTACTATGCACAGCAAAAATGTAGTTGTGCTGCTGGAGTACAATACTTACTGTCTCACAATGCAATGTGCAACTGATATTGCAAAAGGAAACAGTAGAAGACCTTTTCAACCAACCAGACATAGTATAGAATGTTATGCAATTAGTATGTGTGGAATGCAGCTCTCACAAAGCAGCGTTTTCATGCAACTACGTGCACAATTGGGACCAAACGTAAGAAACACAATCATGGAGGAGGTGCAATAAATAGGTTGGTGTGAATAAATAGAGAAAAATCCTAATATAAATGTGGAGAAAGTCACCTTCGCTTAGTAGCAGACTTATGTCAGATAAAATCTGAATGACTGTTCTGATTATTTCCTACAAATTGCATAGACAATTTTTTTTTCCCATACTAACCTATTAAAAGAACAACCAGTTGCGTAATAATATGTGTGTCTTTTGTCCTCAGACCTGCTCTAAAGCAATGATTGTGTTCCTGGCATCAGTGTTATAAATGATCCTATTAAATAGTGTCACACCAATAAATTTGATGAGCTTGGGCGCCCGGATAGATAGGTTGGGCAGGTGACGTGTGAACGGGCTGTAGTCCTCGACGCAAAGTTTGTGGGTTTGAGTCCGGCCCATGACTATTCACTGCAGGTCCTTCCCCCAGTCTTCTCCCCATATTTGCTGGCTCTCTCTCCACTTTCAACTATAATAAAGGCTAAAAAAGTCCAAACAAAAAATAATGACATTTGATGAGCTTTTACAAAGACAGCCAGATCAAGAATGTAAAGATACAAGCTACTATAATGCTTATTCGAAAGCACACGAGGTGTGTGTGTGTGAGCTGGGATGATGTGCTGTGTGCTGTAATTATGTAGCCAGAGAAACTGGTTTTGGAAAAACAAAGAAATGCAAAAACTTCAATAGCATGTCATGTATGTGACAGCAACAACTCTATCTGACTTGATCGGAATCTGCCTGCCCGTCTATCAACATATCCATCAGCCTCTCTATCATTTGGCCAAATCATTGGAAATAGCTGTCACATGGGCACTGTATGTCCAACCTCGGTAATTTAACGTGACATCATACAGCTTTGAATTTGCTACTGACAGCAAAAAAATACGCACAATTTGTTCCTCATTAAGCTCTGCTAGTCAAATTAGGCATTTATATTAATACTATGTATATTATATTTATGTTATAGGGTGTGAACACTAATGAGCACATTCAGTTTTTAGCTCCTGTTTCAAGAACAACCTTTAAGTCAAGTGAGAAGGGTCCAAAAAAAAACATGAGACAGGAGAACTCTGCTCCCTGTTTCAAATCCGACATCAGCATTGTTTCATTAAACCATCACCTTTCCAAATGTTTCTGACCGCACCTTCACAATGAATTGGTTACATCCTGACTTAAAAAGCCTATTTTTTAACAGAAGGACCAACAACCTGTTGCCAGAAACAAGGCTCCAAGTGAATTCTAATGATGCTGAGTCGATTTGCTAATTAGCAGCCCAGGAAGTGTACCAGTTATTGCAGGTTTCCCAACATGATCAGAAAATTCAACTAGTATTATGTTGTTCAAGAGAGCCCAGGCCCAAAACGGCCTTCTGTGGATGGCTGAAACAAGGAACTATAAACTGGGGAATTTTTAAACTGAAAAAGATTAATGCAGAGATTTTAACTATTTGTGTGTTTCCGGGGGACTGTGTTTTTCCCTTCAGCTTTTTTTATTTATTTTTTGAAGCAGATGCAAAACATTACATAAACTATAGATATATTTAAAACATTTTTATTTAATGTATTCATGGATATGATGGCAGATTATTATGATATTAGTCATGAGGCCAGACCCATTATCAAAAATCTTCCTTTGAGGAGACAGTCAAAACCACCTAACCTGATAATTAGCCCCACCAAAAAAAAAAAAAAAAAAAAAAAATCTTGCAGGTAGGTGTACTCAAGTGTCAAACGGAGGCGGTTTCCGACCAGCTGCTGGACGAGCTGGGCCAATATAAAGAGGGAGGATGAGACTGCATGCACAGCTGTCAGAAGACAAGAGAGGAGGCACAGGTGCGTCAAAGGTAAGACACTGCCTCTGCTGCTGCTGCTGCTGCTGCTGCTCAGCTCAACTGGATTCAGCTGCTGCTTTAATTGTCTGAAACTGACTTTTTTTTCCTTCTTCTTTTCGACGAATTTCGGAACTTTCGTCATCTGAACAACTGGTTACAGCGTTTTAATCGTGGAAAAAAATTACTAACATTTTCTTGTTGCCAAATTGGAATCCACTAGAATTTTTTTTTGAAGCTTAAAAAAAGTTGCTGTTTTTATCCTCTTGGTCAGATCTTTCCGGCGCTAGAGTTGCATTTTATTTCCAAAGATTTAATGAGGTTATTTTTTACGTGCACATACATTAATTAACGGACTTTGTGTTTGTTTCAGATGAACTGGTTTGTAGTAGCTGCATTCGCTCTGTGCGTAATTGCGCCCGGCGCCCACTGTGCCGACAACACAATAGGTATGTTGGATTTTTATTTTTCGTTTGTTTTTCTCAGACACATTGCGTTTAAAATGCCCTGTATTTCTGTGTAGAGCCACTTCTTCTCATAGTAAATGGAGTTATCTTTTTTTTTTTTTTTTCCCCCACCTAGCCTGGTGTTACAACCTGCCAACCTGCAGTAAGTGGCCTTTATTATTATTATTTTATCATCTCGACCGTTTCTTCTCCGCAGTGACTCAAAGTCTCGTTGTTTCTGTTTTACAGATGACACCACATGGCCAACAATCGTCGCTCCATTCTGCAACGGCACCAGACAGTCGCCCATTAACATCGTCACATCAAACGTTACTGTGGACGCCAACCTGGGGGCATTCACCTTTGTGCAGTATGACAACGTCTCCCTCTTTGACAAGATCGAAAACACTGGCAAAACAGGTGAAAAAATTAATTAAAAGTGCAAAAGAATGTCCCTGCATTTAAAAAAAAAAAAAAAAGAGCCTTAACAGTTGCAGCCCTGCAAACCTTCCTTATCTGCTGGATTTAGGGTGAAGCCTCTTACAGAACAACAAAAAACATGTGATAGTGTCATATTTTTATCCTACAAGTGCAACAACTGGCTAATAGGCCTTTTTTGTGTCTTTATTTCTCTTCAGGTATAGCTAAACGATTCATCCTGTTGTGTATATATTTTTATTTCCAGTCAAAGTGGGTCTGAACATTGGTGGCAAAGTTTCGGGAGGAGACCTGCCTGAGCCCTATGACAGCCTGCAGTTCCACTTGCACTGGGGGAATGGTTCCACTGTCCCTGGCTCTGAGCACACTGTGGATGGCGTTCAGTATGCCATGGAGGTACAGATATGAATATACACGTACTCCGTTTCATGTGAACACTAAGTTAGGATCTCCTCAGTATATTCATGTTAAATAATTCTCCATTTCCCCAGCTTCACATCGTCAACAGCAAGGAAAGCCTCAACAGGAACACAACTCTAGCCGTTGCGGACTCCACAGGACTTGCTGCTCTTGGTTTCTTCATTGAGGTGAGAAAAGATGCATTTAAGTTATTAAACAATCTCAAACCTTGCACATCTTTTTACTTATTTCCAGCTTGTTCATGTTAAAATCATGTGCATGTGTTGCACCTGTTTCTAGGTGGTTCACTTTACTTTAATTCTGTTTTATCTGCTAAGCTGGGAAAAAACAAAAAAACAATCCAGCCAAACTAAACCATGTGCTTGCTTTTTCAGCCGGTGACCGATGTATCCGGCCAACCTGCAAGCTGGCGCAATTTGGTCGCCTACCTGGAAAACATCGTAATCCAAAGTAAGACGTTTTCCTCTTTTCTTCTGGAAGCTTTGATGTTTGCCAGCTACAGTCCCTTCAATGGTTGTTTCTGTCTTCAGACCAGACAGCTAAAATTGCATCTGGGATTTCCCTGGACGACCTCCTGTTTGGGGTGGATCGCACCAAGTACTGGCGCTACCTTGGCTCCTTGACCACCCCAAGCTGTAATGAGGCTGTGGTTTGGACGGTCTTCAAAGATACTATCAAAGTCAGCAAAGATCTGGTGAGTCCTTCTTCTCCACAATTCCCCTTGCTCTTTTTAAGTGCTTCATGCAGCTAACCATCTCAACATCTTCTGTCCAGATTGATCGCTTCACCACCTTGCGCATCGGCAACAGCACATCAGAACACATGGTCAACGTTTTCAGAAACGTCCAGCCGGGGCAAAGAGTCACAACACAGGCAACCACCACCACCTCCAGCACCTCCAAGACCGGCTACTCTCTTGGTCTGATGGCACTCAGTCTTGTACTGGGGAGAAGCTAGAACCAAACCCTCTTCCCCCCCCTCCTGTATGGTTCCCTGACTTGTCCAAAATGTTAATACTTAAAATATGCACTGAATACTCTTCTTCTTTAGTGCCCTCAGGTCAGAATGTGTGTTGCAGCACACAAACAATCTCTTCACTTCCAAACTAAACGGAGCCATAGTATCAAACGACCTTTTCGCTTTTCAGTGTAGCTTTATATGTAAACAATATTATTATAGAACGGTTGAAAGACAATGAAGTATGGTGATGGCTGCCTCTACTGTAATGTCCCTGATGTCTTGTCAGGCACCTGCAACTTGTGTCTGTTTTGAGCTGCCAAAGCTTCGCCCAGGTCCTTGAGGGAGAAGTATGCACTATGTTTACTGGGTAGCAATGGTAGTTCTAGCACAAGCAGGAGTGCGACAGTATTTTGTTGCATTTAAATCTGCATTGATGTTGGCTGTCAAGAAAAAAGAAAAAAAAGATTCATAGTTGTTGCAGAATGTTTTTTGTTTTTTGTACTTCAGTTTTTATCACCTTATTTTGTAATCTGACTCTCTTTTATGTCGTCCTCATCAGTGCAGATGCTGTTGCAGTGGAAATGCGTTGTCACATTTGTAAGGAAGCCTTGTTTTAGCTGGTGTAATGAAGGATCTCTTTAATCTATTGAACACCATTATTTATGGAAATGATATACACTGCATTTATGCCTTTAATATTGTATTGCATTACTTGCACACAGAGCCACTGTGACCTCCTGATCTTAATAAATGTTAATTAAAAACAATTTTTCTGCAGACTGGGTTTTTTTTTTTTTTTTTGAATGTTATATGAATAATGTGCAAAATGGGTAATGATGGCATCAAGGTGAATCTCTGTTACGGTAAAGATATTGAAGCTTGTGAGAGCAAAACCTGAGGTTACATAAGTCATATCGAATGGGTGTGTGTTATTCTAGTGGTTGCTTTTTCATTCTTAGGTTGTTTTTTATTATAACTGAAGATGCAATTGTTTCTCACCGTCCTTTCAACCCGGCTTATTCAAGCATTTTCCGCTTAAGTAACAGAATAAACACACCTGTACAAACTCAAACATACTAAATTAATTGACTGTCATCTGAGCAGAATATGTAATTATTAACTAAATGTATTAAAGAAAAGATGAAGGCCTTTGAAGTAAGCATGCCAGGGTTGTTTTTTTTAATATATATATCAAAATCAAAGCAGCTATTGTTAAACTCTAGACCTTCAGGAGACTTCACTCATGTGCATCACTTTCCTTTCAGAGCCACAGTTTCTAACCACAAAATCCGAGCCGCTTCATCTCAAGTCACCTGACTGGTGCCGGAACTAAAAGGTGAACGGAGAGGGACACCAGTTCATCAGGCTCATCAGCGTTCAGAGATTGTTATCATGTTGCTCTTCATCCTTTTATTTGCAACCTTTTGTAACAGCCAGACTCAGTGTCTCTTTGATGTGTCCGCTCTCAGAGGGAGAGATGTTCCTCATAAATCTATCGCTCTGTGATCTCGGTCATCTCATAGGGGACTGTCACTGGAGAATGATCAACATTTAGTCCTTTCAGCGGTTCCCATACGAGTCATGGATGGATGTGACAAACTAATAGCAAGAACAAAGCTTGAAGGTGGCGAGATGAAGATTTTAAAAGTTGTTAGTCATAGCCAGGGATGAAGAAACAACACAAGAAGGAAATTAACATCAAGAGATTTTATAATATTTTCTAATAAATGGTCCCATTTGTTGATTTTCTTGCATACATGCAGCAACAGTTTGAAACCTGTATACATGTGGCCGAAAAGCTTGGCTTAAACTTATTTTAACCACAAAATGATTTACCTTAACATCATAGCAACACGTGATGACACTTTTAGCCCAATCTGTAATTCAAATAATCAAATTTAAACAGGTTTCAGTGTAAAAGAACAAAAACGTTGCGTGTACAACACATGTGAAATCATACTTCCAAAATCTAAAAATGTAGCAACACCTAAGCTCAGGTCCCTTTAACCATTTCACATCATAGGTTCATTCACCAAAATCATATCTTTATCTGTACTGTACATACATATATAAACACGTGCACAAATATCTGATTAATTCTAAGTAAATTAGCTTCAGCAGAAACATTGATTATTGCAGTCTGTTTGTGTTGCCTGCTTCCCGTCCAAACATGGGAGGGTTGTATACAACCTAGTTATGGAGGGAGTAGCCCTTGTGCTGGATGAGGGTGTTACATTTCCATGCATTCACCTACACAGGCTCCATGTAATCCAATACTTACTCTAGAAAAAGGAACTTGTGAAATTGTATAGCAGGAGGGAGAGAGGATGCGGAGGCCACTATTTTAACAGGTCAGCAGTATGTTCTGATCAGATAAAGTATCTAACAGAAGCTTCATGTTAAAGCATAAGGTGGGCATCTAACTCAGGCTTTCTATGGCATTAGCATGTAATGTGAAACCAGTGTGTGGGCTGTAATGTTCTGTGAGTGTTTGCTGACGTTAAGAGTCTCTGTTACCCTCCAGTGGAATGAGGGGAGAAGTACAAAAACAGCCACTGAGTCGTCACACACAATCTAAACTCTAAAAAACTCACTGATTACTAATATAACAAAGATCAGGAGGATCCAACTGCTTCTCAGCGATGAAGAGGATCCCCGTAAGTCGCAGCGGCATTCATGTGGGAATCGAGGATTTGCTGCTGTGGCGGTGGAAGGAGGAGCTGGACATCTGAGCCAATCTTCTCCGATGGATTTGCGAGGGACGTTGTCTTGGTTCAGTCCTCCTTTCATGAGCACCCAGTAGGAGCTGTCTTTGAAGAAGTAGGCATCTCCTAAAGAACAGCAGCAGTGTAAACATTGGTTTAAGCATCCGCTTCTTGTAGACTGGAACAGTGATGCTACATAAATGCAGACATTATTTTATTTCAGGCATGAACCTAAAATTGAACTGTTTGGCCGTAATGACCATCGTTACATTTGGAGGAAAAAGGAGGAAGCTTGAAGCCTGAGAACATCATCCCAACTGTGAAGCATGGGGGTGGCAGCATCATGTTGTGGGGGTGTTCTGCTGCAGGAGGGACTGGTGCACTTCACAGAATAGATGGCATCATGAGGAAAGAACATTATGTGGAAATATTGAAGCAACATCTCAAGACATCAGCAGGAAGTTAAAGATTGGGCACTAATGGGTCTTCAGATGGACAATGATCCTAAACATACCGCCAGATTAGTTACAAAGAGGCTTCAGGACAACAAAGTCAGTGTTGTGGAGTGGCCATCACAAAGCCCCGATCTCAATCCTGGAGAACATTAGTGGAGCAAGGAGACCAACAAACCTGACTCAGTTCCACCAGTTCTGTCAGGAGGAATGGGCCAGAATTCATCCAACCATTGTGAGAAGCTTGTGGAAGGAAACCCAGAACGTTTGACCCAAGTCATACAGATTAAAGGCAACGCTACCAGATACTGAGGAGATGGATGGAAACTTCTGACTTTGAAGAAAGTAATATAAGATTCTCTCTCTCATTATTCTGACGTTTAGCAAATATAAATAGTCTTGGTAATCCTAGCTGACCTAAAACAGAAGAATTTTAGTCACATTTAATGTCAAACAGTGAGAAAAAAAACAGTGATGTGTCTTTTTATACAGTGTGTGTAAACTGGTTTTATGTGTATGAGGCAGCTGGCTTTCCTTTTAATTTCTTGATAATGTGACGCCGATGATTCATGAAGTTTCCTCTGAACAGACCTTCAGGACGCGGCAGCTATTTATTCTCCCCAGTTATCTCTCCTCAGGCAGTTTTACTACTGGGAGCCACAGGGCATCTCAGGTTGTCAGTGAGCCATGAGAAATGAGATTTGGGGGTGAGAATGAAACCTGGAGCTCCTCACCAGTCAGACGGAACCGAAGAAGGTCTGATTAGCCAACGTTTGCATGCTCATATGCTAAAGTAAGATGGTGAAGATTGTAAATCATACTTATTAAATATCAACAGATGAGCCTATCCTTGTTTAGATAAAAGCAGTAATAAATATGACATTTAATTCATAGTAATTTCTGATTAATTTGATGTGATTGTGTGATTGGTCACTTTAAGCCTGGTTTTGATATTTAAATTTATAATGCCCCATAGAAAAAAATTCAAATTAATTTAAGAGAATTTTCATTAATAATAATAAAAATAAAAAAAAACATGAAAAGACAGTTGAAATACAATTGAAAATGTTTAGCAATATCACAAATAATTCCTTTTGTTTAGGAATGTAACTGTTCAATTCAGTTTTGATACTGTAAATATTTTCTGCAACCACATTTTGTGACTGAGTAGCACTAATTGTGCCGTAATGCTTTTGTTACGCAAACGTCCTGTTGCTGGTATTTTGCACATCTAGTTTCGTCAGTGCCCATAAACCACATTTTGACGCTGATGAATTGTAAACTCAAGTATCATGTATGATTAATTATCTTCGCTTTGATCAGTCACCTTTCATTGCTCTAGTTACTCCTCATTCCGCTTTGTGCATGCAAACTGAAAAATGTCCTCAATCTGAAACAGGTTCCTTCATGACCTTATTTATTTATGTACAGTTTGTAATTTTACAGACTTTTCCTGCATTTTTGAAAAATAGACTATCAATATATTTATGTTTAGTGTAAAATTACAACAACCTATGACTATTTTTTTTAAAGAAAGCTAATTTTTATTTTAATTTATGATATATATATTTTTTACATGAAACGACAGTGGAAATGCAGTGGAAAATGTTTAGCAATATCATGAATAATTCCTTTTTATTTTATAAGATGATCAGACGTGAACTTTTTAAAATTTGGTGAACTGAGGTGGAATGACTCTTGTTAAACAGTCACAACATAACCGGAAGATTTTGTTTCCTACCAGTAAAGAAGATGATCCTGCTGTCACGCATCCTTAAATTCTGTTTCGATACCATAGGTATGTTTTGCAACCACATTTTGCTACTGGGGCTGCAAGGTGGCTCGGTGGTTAGCACTGTTGCTTCGCAGCCAGAAGGCCGCTGGTGAGGACACCTGGGATCTCTCTGTGTGGAGTTTGCATGTTCTCCCCGTGCACTGTGGGTTCTCTCCAGGTTCTCCGGCTTCCTCCCACACAGTCCAAAAACATGTTGAGGTTAATTGGTGATTCTAAATTGTCCGTAGGTGTGAATGTGAGTGTGCTTAGTTGTTTGTCTGTAAGTGTAGCCCTGTGATAGACTGGTGACCTGTCCAGGGTGTCTCCTGTCTTCACCTTAAGTCAGCTGGGATAGACTCCAGCCCCCCGTGATCCTCATGAGGATTTAGCGCTGTATAGATGATGGATGGATGGATTTTGCTACTGATTAGCACGTATTGTGCCCGACTGCTTTTGTTAAATAATTGTTCTGTTGCTAGGACTATGCATGACTAGTTCCGTCACTACTCACCAACCATTTTATGATGCTGATGAACTGTAAACTCAAGTATCATATGAGGAAACAATTATGTTTGTATCTAGGCTGTAATCAGTCACCTTTTGTTGCTCTGGCTACTCCTCATTCCTTTTCAGCGTCTGCGTGCAAACCGAAAAATGTCCTCAAACTAAAATATCCTCCTCCATGACCTTGTTTATTTATCTACAGTTTATGACACAGATTCATTGCATATCTGTGCATGAGAACACAGCGTTACCTTCTGCCCAGCTGATGATGACGCAATTTTCCTGCAGCTCCACCTTGATACGTTCAGTGCGTCTGTGTGGTTTATCAGTCATCAAGGTTACAGTGGTTTTATGTGTATGAGGCAGCTGGCTTTCCTTTTAATTTCTTGAAAATTTATGACCAATGATTCATGAAGTTTCCTCTGAACTGACCTACAGGACGCGGCAGCTATTTATTCTCTCCAGTCATCTCAGTTCTATCAGGCAGTTTCACTACTGGGAGCCATAGGGCATCTCAGGTTGTCGATGAGCCATGAGTCTGACTGGCAAACGTTTGCATGCTCATATGCTAAAGTAAGATGGTGAAGATTGTAAATCATACTTATTAAATATCAACAGATGAGCTTATCCTTGTTTAAATGAGAGCAGTAATAAATATGACATTTAATTAATAGTAATTTCTAATTATTTTGATGTAATTATGTGATTGGTCACTTTTCCCCATAGGGAAAAATAATATTTAAGAGAAGTTTTACTTGTTATTTTACAGACTTTTCCTGTAATTTTTGAAATACACAAAAAAGTCAAAACAACTACAGAAATAGGCTGTGAAGGCATTTGTTTAGTGTAACATTACATACAAACCGCATTTTGCCACTGAGTAGCACTAATTGCGCCGTAATGCTTTTGTTACGCAAACATCCTGTTGGTGGTATTTTGCACATCTAGTTTCGTCAATGCCCATAAACCACATTTTGACAGCGATGAACTGTAAACTCAAGTATAATGTGTGATTAATTATCTTGGCTTTGATCAGTCACCTTTCATTGCTCTAGTTACTCCTCATTCCGCTTTGTGCATGCAAACTGAAAAATGTCCTCAACCTGAATTAGCTTCCCTCATGACCTTGTTTCCATATTTACAGTTTGTGACACAGATTCATTGCATATCTGTGCATGAGAACACAGCGTTACCTTTTCCCCAGCTGATGATGTCATCCATGTGGACGGGGATCCCCCCCCAGAGCTTGTTTTCTCGTGGGTAACCCGACTCTGGCTGCCTGGTCACCAGTTCACCTTTACGGCTCTCATCAAACCTCCAGTACTCCCCTTCGCTGAACAGGTAGGTCTTGCCGTTGTGGGCCCAGACGAAGGCTGCGTCCACCCTGTCCACCAGCTGCCCGTTCTTCCTCCTCATGCCCCACTCAGAGAGGGGCCGGGGGTAGCCAGCCATGGCCTCTGTGTCCTTAAAGACCCAGTACTCAGATCCTGCACAGGGGGAGAGAGGTGTTTATGCAAAAATCAAAAAGTTTACTTACTTTACCATGATTAGGTTTATTGTGTGTATTTATTTGCATTTGATTCTATTTTGTTATTAGTTTTGTAAAGCTATTTTTAAAGAAAAGGAGATGCAAAGGAGTGTTAAAATGCTGATTACTGCATTCAGCATTGAAGGGCCATGTCTCGGCTTTACTCTGAGTAGCTTTACATCATACAGAAAGAACTGTGCAATCTGTGTACACACACACACACACACACACACACACAATATAAATCCAAATGTATGGTTTTAGACTAGGACAAAAAAAATTCAAGTGACTGATGGCTCTTTATCAGACTGCTTTCAGAGAGAGGTTGTAGAGTAGCTAGCTGAATCTGCCTGTTTGGGTTTGGTGTTTCCTTCTTTTTGTGTTTTATTTGGAAGAATTTGTCACGTATGTGTTTCTGCATGACAGAATCAAGAGAAATGACTGAAATCAAGTCATGGCAGCATAATGTTGTCTGTGCAAGTGTCCAGTGTGACAGAAAAGTCTGGTTTTTATTACAATCTGCCCCTCGCTAATTTACTTAAAGTCATTCTCCAGTCATTGATTAAACCTGTAAAAACTCATCTCTGTGAATCAAAGTTTCATTTTTAGAAGTTTTGTGTGTCCCTGCCATAAATTGCCCTAATACGTGGCTCTACACTGTTGCTTCCTCTAGGATGTCCACACCACTCTCTCAATGCACTCCTGCCTACTTGGTGCAGCTCGAGCACATCAGCTCAACTATGACTCTGCTTAAACACTGTAAAACTACTCTCCACTGTGGTAAGTTGTGGTATTGGAGTAATTCAAACATATATGTTTGAGCTAGAAAGTTGGCAGGATTGGTTCCTTAGATTTGTTGCATATCAAATCCCAGAAGTCTGAGTCTGTGTTTTTAAAGCTATCAACGATATGCTGCAGTTTCAAAGCAGAAATGCTTATTTTGATCATGATGCGAACCCAGCATATAAACCCATACATGGACATGTTAACAAGGTGAAACAAAAAAAACACAAATTAATTTGCCCTGGTGGGAGTCTCTATGTATAGTCTTTCTTTAGTAGCTATAATTAAACATCCGTCCACAAAATCTCCCCTTTAAAGAATAGCATCTAACTCATGAGAACCACATTCACACCTCCCACACCAACTCAGCTCACAAAAAAATAGGGTAATTCACAGAATACGTCACTCCAGACCATCTTCAGCTGGACTGATTTTTTTTTTTAATGGTTAAAATAACTTTAAACATTGCTCCACAGACTGGCTTGAAGAAAACAGAGCAAAAATCGACATGACCCAACCTTCTTTAAGAATCTTTAACTTGGAACTAACTTTATGTATGAGACCAGATTTTTATTTGTTTTACTTAATAACATATGTATAACATAACATATAACATATGTATGCACAGAAAAAAAAGAATCAGACAAATATGAAATGATCAAATGGGAACTTTTTTAAAAAATTGGTGTGCTGAGGTGGAATGACTTGTGTTTCACAGCCACAACATAACTGTAAGATTTAGTTTCCTACCAATGAAGAAGATGATCCTGCTGTCGCTCTTCCTCTCATACACGGCATCAATCTTATCTGTCCCTGGCGGAAGGCCTCTCCAGAAGTTTTTGATCTGAGCTGGATTTAGGGACACCAAAGACCTGTCTCGCTGAGTCCTCCAGAAGTTTGAACCTTTCCCAGAAAAGAGATGATAAAGGGGATTACCGAGAGTATTTATGGTGATTTCAAATACTGTTTGTTTTTGTTGTTCCATAAACAATGTGGACAATTAAGAGGATTTTTAAAGTTTGTATAAGGTGTGATATATATTGATGTTTTCTTCTTACCTTTAAAAAAGAAGACCTCTCCTCTGATGTTTGCTACTGCGTCAAAGCCTCCCTGACAGCGCTCATGGAACGAAGGATCAGAGCTGAAACACAGAAAGTTCAGTCAGAACTCTCGTCTAACTGTATTTTTTCTTGGATGTAGTTTGATAAAACAATCACTAGAGGGTGCAACAACACGTGGAGCTGCCACAATGGGCCTCCAACACAAGGCTTTTATCTTTAACTTATTATTGATCTGACATTACTAATACATTACATTATGAATACGAGTATAAACAAATAAGTGCTCATTGTCAGGATGGAGATGCAGTAGGAGTCTTGACTGGTTTGACTCACTACTTTGTTGGTTTTGGTGGAGGTGGACTGGGCAGGCGGGGCAGGTCAGGATCAACGCCACCCGGACGACCGCCATCCTTCACACCTACGACCAGAACAGTGACAGCGGACAACGTTGACTGAACGATGACGGCACAAGAAAAGTTTGCAAGCAACCCACATTTCTCTCGGTAGCCAGTGAGTGTCAGACACACAGGATGCAACCTGTTTCTTTTTTAGTACGTGAAGGAATGGTTGCTAACCGCAGTGCAGGAGGAGTGCACCTTTGCACACATACAGGACAAGATTAATGAAATATGTCATCAGAGGGGAGTTTTGACCTTTTGACTGGGGGATTTTTTATCAAGCTGTAAAATATTATTCCTGTAACAGATGATAGAAAACAAACATTTATGAAGTTTTAGCTCGTAGTATAGGCTGTGAAATATGAAGCGTAGGCCCATGTCAAATTCTAAAGCTATAGTCAACCACAAACTGCCAGTGGTCACATTCTCATAGACTGTTACTATTTCCTGCTTCACTGAATCAACTAATATGTGAATTCTTAGGAAGATGGCAGAGCAAAAGGGATCTTAGAGTGTTTTTTTAGCCACTCTAATGGCGCAACATGGCATTATTCATCTGTTGCCCAGCCGGTCTACCACAACAACAGTTGGACTGATTGCTAAATGAATGCTTTTGTCAAACTTCAAAGTGCAGTGAGCCCGGTTGTAAACAGAGAATGTTGCTTCTCCACATTTCAAGAACCGTGAATTCAATGATAGTGCTTTGATAAGTTGAAATAAAACCATCAAATAAAGCAGTAGGAGGATTGCGCCATCCTGTACAGCTGCAAAGCTATTCTCAGCCCCAACAGGTGTCTTTGCTTCGCCCACGGTTTCCTCAAGTTTCCTTTTTAAGACTGAGGTAAAGATACAAACACACAAAACACACATGTTGTATGTTGACTGTAATACATAAGACATATGATGGGGCAGTAAGTCAGACTGACCGTAGAGCTCCTGGATGGCCATTCTGTCATCAGAAGGCAGCTTAAACTTGAAAATGTCTCCCACCGGACCCTGGTAGTACGGCCTCATGATGGACGGATCAGAGGAGGAATGAGACAGGCCCAGAGCGTGGCCGAACTCATGCACTGCAACTGTGAACAAGTCTATGGTGCTGCTGTCACCTGAGTAAGTGTGAAGCAAAAGTGTTACTGGATCACATAGGAAAACACAACGTGGGCATTTTGTGTCACCGAGTCGGTACACGTGTCTGGTTTCTGTGTGCTTTTTTTTGATTCTCTAGCTCACTGATCCAGTATGTTTTTAGTAGCTCAGATCTTCTAGATATCATATTTCAATCAATAAATACCTCCATAGCTCCAGATCTCATGATCATCAAAGTGTGTGTCACCCGCCACCTCATCCCTGCCAGGAAAGAAGGCGTGGGCCAGGGTGCCGCCCTGTCCGTCAAAAGGGTACCCGTCATCATGGAGCAAACTGGCAAAAGACACTCTTATGTCTCCTCCGACTGTGGCCCCACTGCTGCTGTCGCCCTGCAGCCGACGGAAATTCAAGGGGGCCGCGTCACTCCAGGATTTGAAGGCGTAAAACATCAGATTGTCCACCACATCGTTGGTGAGTCTGGGTGAGATGGAAGGGTTCGGGTAGCTGTGGACACTGCAGACAAGAGCTTGTATTAGAATTTCCTCTGAATCTGCTCTCTGTCATTCTTTCGTTTTCCTTACCCTTCACAACCATCTGTTTTGTCTGTCACCAAAGTCTGTATGTCATGTTTATAGCATGAGTCATTCAGCTGGTTAAAACTTCTACATCTTAAAGGGATATTGTGCATTTTGAGAATTTCACTATTTTTAAAAATCCTAATCCTTAAAGGAGAAAGGGTAAATCCTTCTGCATTTTATATATTTTTGATAACAAATCCCATCCAAAGACCAACTATGAAACAATTCTACTAAGAAGTACTGCCTGTCACCCCTACACTGACTGTCACTGCTGGGCAGGTGAGAAGACAGCTGCAGAGACTCCACACAGCCAAAGCTGCAGGCCCTGATGGAATGAGCCCTAAGGTCCTGAAAGCTTGTACCCTCCAGGTACGAGAAGTGCTTCACCAGGTCTTCAATCTGAGCTTGAATCTTCAGGGAGTTCCCGTGGTGTGGAAGAAATTGTGTCTCGTTCCTGTCCCGAAAATGCTGCCCCCCAGCGACCTCAAGGACTACAGGCCTGTGGCACTGATGTCACACATCATGAAGACCCTGGAATGACTCGTCTTCTGGATCCCCTCCAGTTTGCCAATCAACCCCGCCTCGGAGTGGACGACGCCATCATCTACCTGCTCAACAGAGTCTACACCCACCTGGATAAGCCGGTCAGCAGAATCATGTTTTTTGATTTTTACAGTGCGTTTGACACCATCGGGCTGGCTGAGAAACTGACAGCGATGCAGGTAGATGCCCCACTGATGTCCTGGATGGTGAACTATCTGTCTGGAAGACCACAGTACGTACATGTAGGACAGAGTGACCAGCAACACTGGAGCTCCACAGGGGACCGTCTTCTCTCCCTTCCTGTTCACTCGCTACACCACGGATTTCAACGACTGCTCGGAGACCTGCCACCTTCAGAAACTTTCTGACGACTCTGCAGTGGTCGGATGTATCACTGGTGGTGATGTGAGAGAGTACAGGATGGTGGTGGACAACTTTGTCACTTGGAGCGAGAGGAACCACCTTCAGCTAAACGTGACAAAGACCAAGGAACTGGTCGTGGACCTCAGCTCGTTCAGCAATAGACTGTTGCTGCCACGCTGCACCACAGAGCGACACAGGAAGTCATTCCTGCCTGTTGCCATCAAACGGCTAAATTCCACACTTTAAATATGATACTGGACAAATCTTCATACAATCTGCACCTTAACTGTACATACGTGTAAATATGTTTGTTCTGTGGTCAGTGTGTTTTAAATGCAGGTTAGATGTGTTTTTCTATGTGGAACTGGTCATTTGGCACCATCTTCTGACGTTGAGAAAATCCTGCAGGAAAGATTTGTGAAAGTTGTCCCTTTTTGATGATGTCAGCAGTTTGAGCCCGCTGTCCGATGTCAGAGCATGAGCTGCTTTCCTCCAGTCTCGAGAGCTTCTGCATCATTAAGTTGGTCTTTGAAGGCATTGTCAGTATGCCAATAACAAATCTGGTTTAAATCGTGGGACGTTAATGTTTATTTAGTGGGAATGTTTTGTAATAAAAGCCCTAACTAGCTTGTAGCCAACATATTTGATTTATGTGAAATTTGCATTGTTTATTGCTGGTTAACCTTTTTTAACCCCAATGTATGTTTTGCTTGTCAGTTTCACCCTACTCCCTTCGGCTATATAAAAGAGTGAACATGAATCTTCTTGTCAGCGTGATCGTTTAACCTGACTGTCAACTCCAGCAAGGCGTTGGAGGTAGAGAGCAGTACAATAAAAAACAAAAAATCTGACGAACTGCACGGCGCAGCCAGCCGTACTACAGCAGCAAGCTCAAGTTATTGCTCCATGTAATACTGCACTCAGTTCAACATCACAATGTCAAAGAACAGCTCCACTACAGGATCAGTGAGAAGCACATCAAACACATCCTGCTCATCTCGACAATCTGAAGGTCCATCAGCCAGTAAAGCAGCTGCTGCCCAGGCAGAGGCTGAACAGCTAAAACTGAAGCAGCATTCACTGAAAAGCAGAGGTGGGAAGTAACAAAGAACAAATACTTTGTTCCTGTACTTAAGTGGATTTTGCAGGTGTCTGTACTTTACTTGAGTATGAATTTTTCTGACGACTTTTTACTTTTCCTCCCTACATTTGAGCACAAATATCTGTACTTTCTACTCCTTACATTCTCTAAACTGGCTTGTTGCTTGTTTCAACCTCAGCAGATGACGACATGACGTACAAGACGTGACAACAAACATCTTAATCTTTCCCAGCAGTGTGCAGTTTGTCACTGAAGCTCAACACACCTCTGCCTGCCTCAGCTGCCTGCCAGAGGCTTTTCAGCACTGCAGGACTGATTTTCAGACGCAAAAGGGGCCCGTCTTCATTCAGAGAACTTTGAGAACCAGCTTCTGCTGAGGCTCAATAAAAGATGTTGGTCGTCTTGAAGAGACGAGTGTTTCCATGTTGATTATAATGTTTAATGTTCATAATGTTGCTGAAATGGAAAACTGTCCGGTGATGTTTTTCTCTGTACCAACTCTGTGCAGGTTCTTAAAGGATGAAAACAATCTCATTTTGTGTGCTTAAAAGTTTTTTCAAAAGAGGCCTCGTGTATCATCGAAGCTAAAAATTTTACTTTTTACTTTTGTACTTAAGTACATTTCTGATCCTGTACTTTTTTACTTTTACTTGAGTAAATGAATTGAATCAGTACTTCTACTTTTACCAGAGGCTATTTTTACACAAGTATCTCTACTTCTACTGAAGTAAAGAATGTCAGTACTTTTGCCATCTCTGCTGAAAAGGAGAATGATTTAAAGCTGGAGAAAGTAGAATTAAAAGCTTCCACACAGTAAATAAATTTTTTTTTTTGTTATATTTGTAGATTCATTTTGAAACTCATCAGGCTATCTAGCAATATTTTTCTGTAGTAAAACTGGTCATAACTGTTCAGTCAATTCTAAAAGTTCAACAAAAATGACTTTTAAAAAATTGCAACCAAGAATCAAGTATTAAAAAGTATTCTATATATTTTATTTAGTATTTTTGTGACATGCAGCCACAAATCTGACTTATTGGCTTCTGCATAATCGGTTTTTAATGTTAATGTGTGCTCAAAGATGGGACTTTTCGGGATCTTTTCATATTTTACCCCTACAAACTAGTTTTCTGATCATCTGAGCTACTTGTCTGATATTGCAGATTCTAAGTTAATGTCATGATGAGAAATAACGGCGAACATTTCAGTCTTTTAGCTTTAATAGTTCCTGAGATACTGTCATTCAAACATAGCCTCAAATCAATTTTACTATTTAAAATCTTTTTTAATCTGTCTTTTTATGGTGTCTTTTATTATATATTTACTACAATTCCTCCTCGTGTCTTTTCTAAAGCACTTTGATATGCCTTGGATTGTAGATCTGTCTTTCTAATTTCTCCACGGATGGATCCTGATATATTGCAGTTCATTATTAACTACAAACATCACATCACATGTCTGTAGTAAACATTCACACAGCTTGAACATGCTCACAGCCACAGTGGTGGAAATATTACATACAACAATATTAGATGTCCAGTTTGTATGCAGGCACACAGAGCAGCTAAATGCTAACCATGATTCTGCATAAAAAGATGCACTTTCCCCTTATCCTCTTTTAAGGTACCTTTAATCCTAACAAGCTTTCAAACAAAACATACTTTTGTGAAAACAGGATCTGTGTGTAATAACATGATAAATCAGGAAATCATTTTTAAGCAATCGTGGATGACACATCATATGATTCATACAGGGAAGACATAAAGTCACATGACAGGAAACATACCTCCATGTGAGATCTGTCTTGTGCCACTTCAGTCCTGACAGAGCGTATCTCTTCCTCCTCCTCTTCCTCCTCCTCATGTCCTCACCTCCTACTATATCCGGGAGGGAGCAGCGTGGTGTGGACATGAGCTTCAGGGTTTCATCATCTGCAAGACAAGTTGATCACGTATGTGGAAACTAAAGAGCAGAATAAAGGAAGTTTGAGACTTCATGTGATCCAGGACATGTGAAATTTAAGCTCCGTCGTCTTGACAGATGTAAGTTAAGAGGTCGTTACCGATTATCCCAGTTTCCTGGATCCCTCCGAATCTCTGCATGACACGAATGGCCTCCTCAATCCCCTCTTTGGTCTGCAGTTTGCTCGTGCGCGGGTCAGGAGGAGGAAGGTAGCCATACCTACTCAGCCAGTCCTGCACCAGAGAACAAGGAAACCACAACAAGTTTGGCGATTACACAAAAGATGATTACAACAGGTGTGAGAAAAAGCACATTTATTGTCTTTGCCTGTTACTTAATTCACCGTGAACTAACTCTGAACCACAGTGAAGCAACAATATTACTGAAATTCTGATATGTGACACTGAAAGCGCCCCACGTATGACTGTGGATCATCAGTCAGACCGATCATGTGGCTCATAAAGCATGCGTCAGCCACTTTTTACTCATCAATATTTAATGCTAGTGTTGAGTAAGTTGCTTGCTGAGGTAAGAACCAAAGAAGACGAATATACCAAGTAGAACCAGAATGACAGAGAGCAGGTGGAGAGTCTAGTATATTTCCTGAAATCATCAAACTAATGTTGAAACTGGACTCCACCCTGCCTGAGGTACAACTGAAGGAAAAAGGTGTCGGCTCACTTTTACTTTGAAAACGTTGTTTATTTCAAGTGGTTGAATTCACTCTTTAGTCTTTATATTGCATTTCAAACAAAAACTGGTATTTTTTTGCTATTTCTTTTCCAGCAAAACTGCATGTTTTACTATTTTTTTCTTTTCAATAATTTCGATTCCTACTGATTTCAAGCCGGCACATTAAGTTTCTGTGTTCAAACATGTTGTGTGTTCTTATCTGGCATCTTGAATATTGTGTCATCTGCACTCTTTTTGACCAGACGTCTAGAAACAACGATTCTCACGAATGTAAAGTTGCGCAAAAAGAAGGAATATTTATATCGTTTTTAGGGAAGTATTATTAACTGAAGTCAGCTTTTCTAACATATTGACGACACCGCTCATTTGTGATTTAGATAATCATTAGGCTTGTAGAGTTTCCCACTCTTAAACCATAAAAACTGCCTCAATGCAGAAACACAAAAGTCCTTTTTCTTGTTTTTATGATCCTCATGAGTCATCCGAACGCTGCCTATGTGCACTATAAGGCCCTTGTTCGCCTTATGTTTCCTCTCTCCGACAACTCTCTCACATCTGCCCGAGAAAAGCCTGGTGCACATTAATATTAACAGTAGTATGACACTTGCAAGTAAGGGGAGTTTTTTCCCCAAATAAATAAAATGTGTGACTAAATGATATGACTGAGATAGAAAATCCTAATCATCAAAGTGCTATACATCATCCTTCAGTCCTTCATCCATCTTACAGCGAGACAAAAGAAAATGTGTTGGATTTATTTTTTTTTTTACTACAGAACTGGACAAATGAATGCCAGTGACACGCCGTCCCTCCATCTACATCTACACAGCTACAGAGGTGCCACACAAACATTTACACATTTTATTAAAACATATTTGTAGTTGATATTTTCCACTCACCACCGCTCTGCTGTATTGATCGGGCACCGCTGTTGTGCTTCCCACTAAGGTGAAAGTCATCACCAACAGAAGACCCAACTCCATTCCAGCAACTACAACAGAAGGGCCCCGTTATTAACAGGATGCTTCCTATGTGCAGGAAACCCAGACATTTCTTCCTCCAGAACATGTGAACTTCAAAAGAACTGAAACAAAGCTTACCGTTGTTTCTTCCTCTGCAGCTTCTGTCTCTCTTGAGACTAGGCGGGCTTGATCAATATCTACTCCCTGCCTCTCTCCCTCACTGTAGAGCAAGTGGCGTACAGCGTTAACCCTAACGTGTACGATGCATGATGGGGGTGGTTCCTGCTGTTGTTGCAATTATACGCCAGCATACAAAGGAAGTGTTGTACCGCCTTGCATGAGTTCTAAGTTTGGCAGTAGAGTGTTGGCTCTTATGTGAAACTAACTTTTTAGATGTAACATATTAAAATATACAGGTGCCTCATTATTAACCCGAAACAATGCAGATCGGTATTAATTTCTGGGATTCAAGTCTTTTTTTTTTTTTTTTTCAAGATTGCACATGTCCAGTTTTATCCATCAATTCATTTCATTGTTATCCATTTCATTACAATACTGTTCCTTATTTAACTACACTGCTACATTCATGAACAATCACTTTGCACTTCTGAACCATTTTAGCACATTTTTCATTTTTTAATTTAAATGTATTTATCCTATTTTAACGACCACATGGTTGCTACTGCTTTTGCACAGTTGCCTTGAATTGCCCCCAAAGGACAAACAAAGTTTATTTTAAAATGTTTTTATTCAAATTGAAGTGAATTTTCCATACATTGCTCTATCCTGCAGGCTGTGATTGTGTTTTGTTGTTTCTAGTGGGTGAAAGTTCAGGGCTGACAATAATATCAAGAATCATTAAACAATGCTCGCTTCAGCTTCAAAGATATTAGTGAAAAATAAAGATGAGCACGATTAGTCGACTTACCGATTAAACATTGCTATCCTTGAATATTCAGCACCAGATATAACAGTTTACTAAATTAATTATTGATATTTTACTAATGTACAAGTGTTACCTCGAAGGTTTAAAGCAACAAACTCATGTGGACGTTAGCTGGAGCTGCTACTGCTAGCGGCTAACCCCAACTCTAAACCAGGACAGTTTGGCAGTATTTTGATTTTGAAAATAAAAATAAGGTTGTATGCAGGATGTGTAATAAACTGGTATATAGGAACAATTCAAGCAATTTATAACCTCATTCAGCACAGCTCTGTCAACGCTAACGTCCATCCGTTTTCTATACGCCACTTTATCCTCTATAGAGAAGCTGTGCTAGCTACTGCGCCGCTAACTTGTATGGCATTTTAAACGTTCACAGTTAACTCCTATCTATTGAGTTGTTGTAATGTTTTGAAGGATAATGTCAAATATTCATGTGTATATAAGTTTACAGTTTGCTTACTGAAGAATTGAAGGTTTCAAATGATTCTGAAACACTTAAATACAATGTAGTTTTTTGGACTATTTTTTAATCTTGTTGTTAAATTGTTCTGCATTTTGATGTTTTTTCTGAGTTTCCTCACTTTGAAACTTCTCCAAATTCAGGTTTCTCTTTGACTGAGAAATTACTGAAAATTGTCTTGTGAAAAAAATTTCTGGTAAAAAAAAAACCAAAAAAAAACAGAAGTCCTAGATTTGCCTAGTGCGTGTTTCATACAATTAAAAACGAAATACTTGACATGTCATATTTCATATGCATTAGAAATAATCTAAAATCTAATTCTAATTTTAAGATAAAAGCCCAGTTTGGAACTTTATTTTCAAATGTAAGTGGCACAAAATCTGCCCCAATGAACTGAAATTGTCGGTTCATATTAAATTTCATCATCATTTTTGCACATATGCATTAGACTATGCTAAATCTAATACTACTCTAATAACCTGGCAAAAGAAATGGAAATATCATTTCCATTTGAAGATTTATTTAAATCTATTTTTATCTTACAGTGCACTTGAAATGATCCTGACATCTCAAACCGATTAAATTAATCAGTTTTATTTTGGCACCTTTGGAGTTCCATACACTTAAGATTGAAGTGAAAATTGCTAATTTAAAAAAAAAAAAAAAAAATGTAGTTCTTATTTTTAAAAAGAAATGTTTTGTGAATGTTGTTCAACACAGATAATAAATTTGAGGAGTATTGACGAGGCTGCATTAAGCTGGAGTGCTCTGGCATCTCACATCACATCTTTGAATCCCATTACGTTTGTGGGTCTGCATTTCTAGTCTCTCTACAAAGCATCGTTGGTGTTATCTTACCCTCTTCCTCCCTCCCTCCCCCTCCTCCCGTCTTTAATTTCTGTTCATCCTCCAGGGCCCAAGTGAGTCATGCCATTAGCACAGAATGCAGCTCGGCTAATGGCTGGACAGTTTCCGTCATGTCCACTTCATGTCGCTGCCCCATGGAAAATGAACAGTCTTTTAGCTGCTCAATATTTAGTAGTCTGGATTATGATGTACACTTTATGACCCGCTGTTGGTCTTTTGATGGCCAGTGACATAAAATATGAACAATGAACTCTGGGAAACTGAGTTTATATTAAACACTCTGGACTCCTGATGTTTGGAAGCTTGCAGTTTTCTTGTTTGGCTTTAAGAGAACCGTTGTACATCACATATGAACCAACGTTTTCAAAGCTCTATTCTTAATCTTTACCTAAACCAAATAACAAACAGTATATTAAACCTGCATTAACTTGTTTTTAGTGTTACGGCTGCTGCTGTATTCTGAGGAACTCCAGCTCCCTCTTCCCAGTAGGTGTGAGTGTGTGTTGTCTGTGGTGTGTGTGTGTGTGTGTGTGTGTGTGTGTGTGTGTGTGTGCACTCAGCCTTCAGGTCACCCTGCAGCAGGAACTGATTGAGCTGATGTGATTCCATCCACCTGCGCTGGAGGAGGCTGATCTACCAATCAGGAGCCACCAGGAGGATATAAGACGCCAGCAGACCAGCATTGGACAGCGAGCTGTTGCCAGCCCTGCTCATGTGCTTCTCTCTACCTTTTGATTGTATTACTTCAGTGAACTTGTTGAGGCACTAGACTCTGTAGTAAGAACCCTACGCCCTCCTCAGTTTTGCTGTCAGCCTCGCTAGCGTTTGAGTGCTGTTCTGATTGTATCTTTGTATTAGTTTGGATTAGTGAGATCGTTTTTATTTCATTTTTCTGCATAATGGTAATTTTAAACTCTAGGTCAGAGTCTCCTTTTGTTCTCATTTTCCCAGCACTCATTTAGTCTTTAGTTGCCTCACTTCTGTATTTATTGTTAAATCTTAACCTCACAACGTTTTATATTACTTCCCTTTTCCCTAGCAAGCTGGTTGCAACATAAATGGGGGCTCATCCGGGAGTTAAAAACTGTCAAAAGAGACCCGGAATATAAAAGCTGTTATTAATAATTAAAGGCGAGATTGTGGTAGTGTCTGGTAAATTGGTAAGATGTAAAATGGCACCCTTTGACTTGGAAAGCTTCCTGGCAAATCCTTTGCTCGATCAAATTAACAAATGTAGAAAAGATCATTAGCCACCTTGCAGAGCAGAAACAAGCTGACAAACAGACTAAATCATCCACCTTTAAATCTGGAGAGCATCATATAAAAGAGTTCACACGGTGCCAATTAAGTCGTATTTACACAGTTTAGTCTGATCTAAGTCTCTGTGCCTGGTAGATCTTTGGATTTTGTAGAATACTGGAGTTTCAAATCTGTTTTCTGTGGTGAATTTTCCAGCTAAAAATGGGTGCAACAGAGCTGCAGAGGGGAACGACCACAGGGACTAAACAGGCTACAGCAGCCGAGAATATGGCAAGAAGCATCGTAGAAGATCCTGATTAATCTCCAGATTAAAAAAAGAAACTCTGCTTTCAGTGGAAGAATTACAGTCGGCGACAACATACGTGACCATTTGTTGACAGAGTTGGTGTAATAACTCACTGCCAGTAGGGGGAGACAAAACCTCCACACTGCAGCTTTGAGTTGATATGCTGGCAAGAATGTGCTCATGTCTACATTCAGCATTAATCTGGAGCTGTGTTTCTGTCCAATAGATTTAAAACCAGTCCAATTTCTCCTGAGGTTTGCCCTTAATAAACTCATAATGTGTGATTGTTGTTGTTGCTGCAAAATGCATCAGTTGTACTAATGTACTAGAAGCTATTCCTTGAGAACAGCTGCCAGCTATGACTGCAAATGATCAGAGCAGTGACGGTGAGTCCAGGCGGTAAACTTGTAGATTAAAAGATGCTAAAATGCCCACTAGAACTCAGAGTTTGTACGTGTGTTCTGGTGACTGAAGCCTTTTACATAAAAACAGTCACGTGTTGACATAAAAACTACTAATTAAAGCAGCTTTAAATAAACCAGATGTTTAGATCCCATTACATTCTGATTATCTGTTGGAGGCTCCAAGTAAAGTAGAAATTCAATTAAACAAACTGCATTTTATTTGAATAACCGTGATGGCATCATATCACATTTGTCAAACATCATCCTTGTCTTTATATTATTTAAGCTGTCATGTTGAATTGTTATTCCTTTTTTTCTTTTTAATTTAGAACCACACAGACGCTGAGTAAAACGTAATCCGACACCACAAACGCAGACCTTTGAATTCATATTCATTACACACAGTTTTTATTTTCATTAAAGGGATCCAAGGCCTTCACAAAAGGGTTGACTCTTGGTAGCTATACAGTACTAACACAACACGCGACGACAACCAAAACAACACAAAGGACTTGTGTGAACGAGTGAAAAGACAAATAAATAAGAGCTGAAAGACATTTTCATATGAGATGCATCAACGAAACCAACAGTCGGAGGAAAAGTGAGCAGAGGTTGGAACTCCGCCAAGTACAGTAACGGCTTTTTGTACAATGCTTGCTTTCGTTTTCTGCGAGTAGCTGATTGTCTAGAGCGGCTTGTTTTTTTGGTCATGCACAGTTTGTTAAAGCCATTTGCTGTCGCAGTAATTTCACAGTTTATCCTTTTTTTTTTTAAAAATCTCCTCCACCGCCAGCTTTGATTGTCAGTCTCTGTCTAGTGTTTGCATTTGGCGGTTTGGAGGCAGCTTTGCTTTGCTGTAATGATGCTTGATTGTCACCGGCTGATGGATATGTGTCATTAGTGATGTACGAAAAAGAAAAAAAAACCCTGCCAATCCAAGTATCACTGCTAATTCTGCTGTGCAATTCCTTGTTTTTTTTTGGTTTTGGAATAATTAGATAAAAAATGATGTCCACATATATACAAAATAAAGAGAAAATTTTAAAAAACTTGACTTTTTTTCTCTTATACCTGTAAATCTGTGACATTTTCTTAATATTTATATTAATTTCACATTTCACGGAGCATCCCTAACAATTTACTCTACAAATTAAACTTTGAGGATGGTTTTGAGTCCACGGCGTGCTACATTCTTCCCTCCAGTAACATCCGACAATGTTCCACAGTTTTCTTCATCATACATGGATGTCTGTACAAAAATATGCAGTCTGAAGTGTAACGTTGCTGGCAGGAGAGGCAGGATTTACACTTTTTATTGGTACTTTTTTTTGTTCTTTTTTTGAAGTTTTAGTACAAGTGATTGCCGTAAGCAAGTCGAAAATCTTCACAGTAGCCTCACACAGCTTTTGCTCGGGGAACAAGCTACTTATCACAATATCATCGAGCTGCTCAAGTAACAAGAAACTGTGGTTACACTTCACAATACGCCTGACATCTGCTGGCATTCACTCAGTACTACAGAATCACTTATTGAGGCTTTTTTTGTGTGTGTGTGTGTGTGTGTGTGTGTGTGGTAGAATAATGATTTTGATCCTGCTGGTGAGCATGTGGGAGCCGAAATCTTATTTTCACATTTAAAAACTTGCAAAGCTACAGTTTATTTAGCTGTTTTTTGATTTATTTCTATTACATTTTTGATGTATTTCTATTATATTTTTGATTTTTACATACTGGTGGTTTGACGTTTAGGCAGACATGTATTCAGTCAAGTCCCAGGTTCTGTTTTTTTTTTCATTTTTGAATCACAAAATTTATACAATTAAAAGCCAATATGTGTGGCACAATAAAATACAAAGGGTTCAATGCTAATTCTCAACTATCAAGTCATAAAAAAGTTCCTCTTGCTGCATCTCCACAGACGGTAAACCCTGACTTTAGCCTGATTTTAATCCTAAACACACCTCAGACGGATCCTATTCCTAATCCTCCTATGATTAACACACTATCCAAAAAAACAACAAAAAAAAGTGCAACCTGATAATACTAAGACAACACCAGTCTGACCAGAGTACTGTTAAGTGCAACCAAAGCTGCTCTTGGCTGGATTTGTAAACATTTAATGCATTTCGGGCTCTGCAACCCATCGAGGCCTCTCTGTAGCTCAGCCCTGTGCTTCCTTAAATCCTATTTTCTTGACCTTTTTTTTTTTTTTTTTTACACCCCCCCTCCCCTTTCTTCTTTTGCAACTCCGGTTGGAAGCGATTGTCTGTTGCTCACTGTAATCTGGCCCAGTATTGACCCAGGTTCTGACTCATGCTCTGCGGCTCGGTTCCCGGGACCTGGACCGGCACTGACACGCCGGGCGATATGAGCCCTGCAGAGACGGGGAGGAGGAAAGCTGTCAGTTTGGGGGCTACACAGTCTGATCTACTGTACATGTCAGTAAACGCTCACCTGTGTTGGAGTTGGCGGAGGGCGGAGTCTGCAGATGAGGGGAGGAGTACGCCGAGGAGTCAAAGCTGCGCGGTGCAGAGGGGGATGGAGGTAACATGCAGGAGTAGGAGGAGGCCGACTGAGGAGGAATCGACTGAGAGTGGACACAGCAGTGGAGGAAAGATTAGATGTGTATCCAAAAATTACATTATCATTTGAGAAAGCCTTTTTTTTTTTGAAGTATGTAGCCACAGCTGTACTTTATCCATGTACTATAAAGGCAAAGGTTTGGTTTAACCACATGGAGGTGCTAGAGTATCACAGCCTGGTAGGAACCCAGTCGCCCAGATTTTCTTTTTACTTATTTTCTAATCATTATCAAGCCTGAACCTTTGCATTAAATGATATTTTAAGCATCAGCCACAGTTTTTTACTTTTTCTGATGTCCTAATTTTGAGCATCTGAAACCCATTTGACCCACATTTGACAAAAAAATAGTGTATATCTTAAACTAGAAACCATAACTGTATGCATTTTGATGCTGAGGTTGAAATGGTGCGACCAAAGCAATGTCATTGACAAGCGCCTCAGGAAAAAAACACATCTGTCACTCTGATGATGACTTTTAATTAAGTGCTGCTTCTCCAGGTTGAACAACCGAATACGGCATCTAGTTTTAAAATAGTTTTCATGACTTGTACTTTCCAAACAATGTCAAGGTCTAGTCAAGACCTCCGATACCGCAGATCTTTTGCAATAATCACCCAGCGTAAAATCAGAATAAATCTGCATTTCAGTTGTTGAGATGATTAATTTTGACCGATAGAGACAGGGCTGCACTGGGTGTCTAAAATGTAACATACACGCAGTCTGAAGAAGCAAAAAGGCAGCGCTCACATCACTGTAATGAGCTGCTGACCTTCCAACTTTAGGAGTAATCTGTGAGTGTATTTCACTGTACAATTTAAGGCCTTTTAACAGTCACGATTTGAGATGTCAAACTGAAAATCTGCATGTAATTAACATTTATTTTCATTATTGGTTCATCTTCCAACAGTTGAATAAATCCATCAGTGGGAAGATATTTTATTTACTGTCACATGTGACAATGAAAAGCAGCAACATTGAAGATGCAGAAACCATCAAACATTGACATTTTTCCTTCAAACATAACTGAAATGATCATTCAATCAATCATCCAATTAGATGTTTGAAACAATTAATGAAGCAACCAATTGTTGCTGCTCTGATAATTTATAGATTTGCTTTCTCCATCTCTTTCCAGTCCTTGATTATCTATTATTATTATTATTGATATTATTATTATTGACTGGGACAACACTGATAACAGCTATGATAATAATAATAATAAGAAGAAATAGATATTTCATTATTAATATTAGAACTTGTAGTTGTATCAGCATTAATACCTTCTGTTATTTATTTGCATATTTTACTTTTATCAGCCTCGTTTTTAGACTCTAGACCTGATAATACACAGGTTGTGCTGTGTGCTGATGATGACGTGCTTCGGTATAGTTTGGAAGGTGCTGATGAATGATGAATGATGAATGTCCAACCTGGACTCCAGATGAGAAAACTGACAGCGAGCTGTAGCTGGGCAGGGACGACTCAGCCTGACTCAACATGGACCCTGGAGAGAGACACACGGAGCAGAGCGAGGCGGTGAGCTCACGCACACACACATTCAGTCACATGTGATGGGAGCAGTGGAAATGTTTTAATATAGATGCACTCTAATGGAGAAACTCTAATGGTTAGCCTGCCTGCCAACGTCAAGAAGAGGAGCTCTGAGGTTTGTAATTATAAACTAGTAAAATATTCCGGCCACCAGATGTATAAATCATAAAGAGCAAATGTAAAGTCCTCGCTGGCTGCCGTGTGAGCAAACAAACAAGCACGTGTGTTGTCATCAGCGGCGGTGTAATTAGGCAGCTGTACTGCGGCGCAGCGACCTGGTGTTTACCTGAACTGCTGCCGTGCTGCTGATGATACACGGACGTGTTGAACGAAGTGCTCAGAGGGGCTTGGCTCTGCGAACAAGAAGTCACGCCGCCTGACCTCCTTTGGTTGCGCAGCTTCTCCTCCCTCCTCCACTTGGCTCTTCGGTTTGAAAACCACACCTGCCAATCAAAGAGTCCCGTCAGGCCTGTTCATCCTATAACGATGCATTCAGCAAACAAACACATTCTGCTGCACTTTGAGGCTGGATCGAGAGCTGCCTCACCTGTATCCTGGCCTCGGGTAGATCAATCTTGTTCGCCAATCTCTCCCTCGCAAACACATCCGGGTAATGTGTCCTTTCAAACTCTGTGGAAGATATTAACTAATGTCAGACACACGATGTGAGTCTTAATCGAGGCTGACAGCACTACAGGAAAACAGCTTGCCTGATAGCCCCCGCTGCGTGGTGTTCACATATTTTGGATTCATCTGTGCATCTTCAAGCTTTGCTTATAATTAATCAGAAATGACTAATAATAGCCAAAAAAAATTAACCTGCATTTTAGATAATTACTGCTCAATACTAGCAGCAGCACTAATTATCTCTCCGTGGAACGTATAAATCCAGGAGGCTGAGCTGTATCCTTACAACCATATTTGAAATATTTATCTGTTGCACTTTGTATAAATTATTTATCATTATGGAACACGCAGAAAGTTCAAGTGAAAGGATTCAAGTTGAGAAGCTGCCTAAGCACTTTATTTCAAAGAACGCTCACTAAAGTGAAGAAGGATCCTTACAGGTTCTCATTTTGTCGTCATTTATACGTTTTTAATTCTGAGCATCTATTGTTTTATCAGACTGATCAGTATCATCTGGTGACTTACTGTACAGCAGACACAACGGCTTGATGCAAATGAATTCTGAAGTTGTTTGAACATCAGTGAGTTCATGTTAATGAGACTTGGAGTTTCAGAGGATCATTTCTCACGGTGGCAGTTAATTTATAGTTGACAAACTGCTGACATTTTTGTTGTTGACAAGTCGAAACGAGAATGTGCCTCACCCTCTGACAGCCTGACTCATCCTCATGAACTCTCGTGAAAGTTCCAGGTCTGGTAACGGAGACGTCTTTACAGATTGAAGTGTCTGCGCTCGTGATGCTTAACATTAGTTTAGTGTGCCAATAAAAAAACCAAAGCTAATAAATCAAATAGTGGTTTAAGTCACAGATGGCAGCAAAGTTTCTAATTATGTTTACGGCTGAGCATATCACAGATTATAATTTCTGTAAATAACTAGAGACTGAAGTTGACGCTGGTAACACATGGTTAAGAAAGACTTTTTTCACAAAGATAGCGGTGGCTCCGTAAATTAAGTCTGTCTCACAAATTGTTCTAATTGGCTTGGTTATAATTGGCGTCTGTGTCAACACATGATTGTTATTGTGCCGTGGCTGCGCACTGAGGTCAGTGTACCTCATTAATGTCATTTGCACAGAGTGACCACACTGATACGTTTCCACTCGGCTGCACAGTGGACATTGCGTCCTTATTTAGCTCAAGGGCCCTCTGCAGCCATATCCAGTCAAGGGTGGCTTTCTGATCCCTCTCAGTGGTTATCAGGCCACGAGGGCCAGATCTCGCTGCATAATACAGCCACAGTAATGATGCATTATCAGGACTCTGCTGTACATGTTGCCAGAGGCCTTTTTGGAGCAGATCAGGAATATTTTGTGGAGTTAAGATTGTGGATAATTTGCATGTGGACGTTTTCATGGCAGGGCTTAGTCTGCCTCGGAGGGACTGATAAAGATCCTGACCTGCTAAAACACACACAGCCTGATTTTAGATGTAGTTTCCTGCGATTTAAATTTAAATCTAAATCTGTAAGCAAGGTCTGAAGACTATAATCCAGTAACAAAGGTGTTGGCAGGGAAAAAAAAAAAAAAAGCAGCAGGACAAGCTGCGTCATGACACACTCTGCTCCTCTGCTCTGGCTTGCGCCCATGGAGGCCGGCGATTGGCTGAAAGGCGAGCAGAGCGCTGTGCGTGCTTGCATGGCCTGACCTTTCTCCAGAGCCTCGATCTGCTCCTGTGTGAAGCTGGTCCTGTTCCTCTGCAGCTTCCTCTTGAGCTGCAGCCTCAGCTGAGACTCCTCGCCCTCGTCCCGCTCCACGGGGACTCCTCCTCCTCGGCCCGCTCCTCCTCCCCCGGCCTCACCCCCCATGCTGCCCTCCGTGTCCAGCAGACAGCCCTCAGACACTGGCAGTAAAGGAAAGGTGACAAAAGAGATGCATGTGTGTGTCAAGAAAAATCCCTACAATTCAACAGACGGTTAGGTAGAAGCTACTTGTATTTCTATGTGGTTTAAATGCGGTTTACCTGACGCCCTCTCACCTGTGCTGTGTTGCGTCTGAACGCCGGTGGGGTCATGGTACCAGTTGTTAGGCCCACTCCAGTTCGAGCCGCTCTGCAGGTTCAGCATGGTTAACTTCTCATACATACTACGAGTGTCCGAACCACCATGAAGAAGAAATAAAAGAAATCCTGTCCTGTGTGGGTTCGCCGCTGTTTACTGTCACCTTGGCTCCTCTCTGCCTCCCTCAATCCTCCGATCCTTCCTCCTGGGAGGGGGCAGCGGCGGGAGGGTTTCGAGGTGGGAGCAAAGATAAGAAGAAGAAGGAGGGGTTCATATCGCATGAGTTCACACATGGTTGGCATTGTGGTGAATTAGCCTCATGATGACAGACAGAAATGGAGTTAGTTACATGCTCGCTGTCGTAACGCGTGTGTGTTATACATTGCTGCGCTGGTATACCATGGGGAGATGAGGTACATTAGAACCCACTCTCAAAGTCATGACATTTATGATGCACTTTTAGCTCTATTTTTTGCTGGTAAGCTCGAGCATGCATGCACACACACGCATGCATGAGAAGACACCGAATTTATATGTATCCACAAACTGGCATCTCACACACACACACACACACATGCAGCGGCTGTATGAAGGATTACCCAGAAAACACCAAAACCAAGCTCGTGTTTAACTTTCAATATAAGACATAAGGTGCACAAGTGTGTCCTTAATCATCACGATCCACCTGAGCAAATATGTGGCAGCTCTGAGATTAATAAAATATATTTTGTTCCCCTTTTATCCTGCAATGAGAATAAGAACGGAAGGCAAAGGTATGTCGATACTGAGCAAAATCTCACAAAGTAGTGCAGCAGCACAATGTCAAAGGTCAAGCTTGATTCATTTGGATGCGACCGCCCCGAGACAACAATTCAGTAACCTCGTTTTCAAGTAGATTCCAGAAAATATTCATGCACACTGTCGGCAGCGACGCCGACCTCAAAGCCGGCACTTAAAGTCTGATATAGAAGTGATATCACACACGCAAATGGAAAAGAAAACACTCCGATGTTGCGATTTTGTTTTTTGCAAACTTACCGAGTGTCCAGGTGAAATGGTGCGGGGGGTCCTGCGTGTTACTCTCCTCCTCTGTGGACCTTTATTCCCCTGTTTCCCCCCACGTCCCTTGTTCTCCAGCTTTGTTGACAATACTGTGAGTGTGTAAAGGAGAGAGTGGGAGAGAGATGGAGGGAGTTAGACAGGGTGAGAGAGAGTGAAAACCGGAGAGGGGGGGCTCTGGAGAGAAATGCGTCTGCGGGCACTCTTGTCCTCCGAGCGATGGGGAGAGAGAGAGAGAGAGAGAGAGAGAGAGAGAGAGAGAGAGAGAGAGAGAGAGAGAGAGAGAGAGAGAGAGAGAGAGAGAGAGAGAGAGAGAGAGAGAGAGAGAGAGAGAGAGAGAGAGAGAGAGGGAGCCACCGAGGGGTGACAAAGTGAGTCAACATCAGTGTCAAGTTTGAACTTAATGCCAGCGAGAGGAGGAGGGGAGGCCGAGAGAGTGGAGCATAAAGCACAGATAATGGAAAGATAGTGGATGATAAATAGATGATGGAATTCAATTTTGGCCATAAATTACACATAAATATTGAGCACAATTGGCAGTCAAGTGTGTCACAACCAAGACGATTGACATTATGAGATTATTAGATTCAACATTCAGTGAGTCTAACGAGTGAGAACTCATTTTCGTTGATTCCTGTTTGGACACTTTAAAGATTTGATCGGTCAAACTCTAATAAAGCTTTGACACGTAGCAGCTGTTTAATTGTATTGCTGCTGTAAGAAATAGAAGAGTAAAAGATTGTTGGGAATTATTGTTGTCTTTAATGTTATAAGAGGGTATTGTTATATTATCGGTTTAAGAAATCGAGGTAATAAATGATTTTATACATCGCAGCAGGACAAATGTGTGTAATTAGGAGGTGTTTTGTTGAACTGGACACATCAGTAGTTTATAATTTTTCTATCACCCAGAGACACTGATGAAGTCAAATGTTGTATAAAATGTCGCAAAAAACTAAACTAGTCTAAAAAGAAATAATTTAAAATCATAAACAATGGGAAATTAGAAAAAATGACCATGTAGTAAAATAATAATGAGAAATATTAGGATGATTGATTGATTACAATCTATTTAAAATGTTGGATATTGATGATCAATTGAGATTATTTTTGAGCACTAAATACATTAAAAATTTATCAAAAATAGATATTAGTTAGTTAAAAATGTGACATTTTCAGCTCATTAATCATTTATTTTTGTGCTTTACTTTAATTAAATGGATTTAGATCATTTATTTTAGATAAATATTAGGATTATTGATTGATTATGATCTATTTGAGTTGCTGAATTGGATGGAAAGATGATCAGTCATGTTACCAAAGCTTGTGTTTGATCATTAGACGACATTTAAAAATCTTTACAACAACAGTCTTTATGAGTTAGCTAAATAATTTCAATGATATCCTTATTAATAACTTATTTAAGTAGTTTATTTTATTTAAATTAATACTAACGTCATCTTGACACTAATGATTAAAAAACAAACCCTTATATATTCATGGATGTTTATTCGATACAGATACGTAATAATGATGCATCATTTTGTAGAGGTGCAACTAATTAAGTTGTAGACATGTTTAAGTAGAACATGTGTCTTTATAATAACATAAAACATGATCATGTACATTAAGAATAAGCATTTTATGGGCTGTATCGAAATACTGCCTCACAAATGGCTTTTATCATTTATTAACATCTGCTGGTTATTTTCTTGATTGTCTGAATAATTATTTGTCAGAAAAGTAAGAAAAATGTTATTAATGTTCACAATTTTCTTCAAATTGCTGCTACAATTTAGAATCATGTATTTGAAGAAAAAGTGGCAAATATTAAGAATTGAGAAGCAAATGTTTGGCATGTGTGGTTAGGAAATTATTGATCAATTATCAAAACTGTCTGAGCTGTATGCTGAGCTGTGCTATCTGACATCATGCTCCTATGGACTGAGGTATTTAATCCTTCACAGTGTTTCAGGCCTGCAAAGCTGCTGTTGGTGGGCAGCAGCTACGTTGGGGTTAACAAGTGCTCTCAGTCTGAGTTACTGCTGCTTTTCTGAGAACACCTGGGTATTGTTCCCCCAACCACAGCGGTATTGTTCTCCTGCTTATAGCACACTGAGCTTAAAGCTATGGGACAATAAACAAAGGCATCGTCTGGGGCCCAGAGCGGGTTTAAAGGAGGAACCATACAGAAAGCCCCGACGGTCGACACACAGGGCCTGATGTGAGGCGTAAGTAATGACGCAGGTATGACGGTATGTATGGCGGAGTCAAAGAGCGAGAACAGAGTAGAACCGGGGGTTTAAATATATCCCTTTGCAACGGAAGGGAAGAGAAGAAGTGAGAGATGGAAGATGGAGGCAGAGGGGAGAGATAGAGGGAGTGAAGAGGAAGTATGTGACTTTGGGGTGGGTGTAGGGGCTTGGGGATGGGGAGGGTGCCAGCTTGTTTTATTTCCGGTTGACAAGACTTTGCGCTCCCTTTCTCTCTGTCGCTCCCTCTCTCTTTCATACTCTGCTATTCTTTCTCCGCTGCCCCCACTGCTCCGTCTCATCCCCCCCACACACCCACCCTCTTTCTCTGTTACTTTCCTCCGAGACGTGCCTCGGAGAAAGGAAAGGACTTGACAAGTTCAAAGGTAAAAACAAGTAAGAACAGTGGTGGGAGAAGCATTTAGACACTTTAAAAGAATTTAAATACTCAGTTCAAAGTAATAGAAAATAATAATAGTAATCCTGCATTCAAGATTTTGCTACAAGTAAAAACATATTATCAGCAAAAAAACAAAAACACAACAACAAAGAGCTCCTTATGCAGAATGACTATGCATCTAAGGAGTGCTGTAATGCCATAACTTCATCAAGCATTCTTGCAATCTTGTACAAGACAAACACGATTATCATGTGATAAAATCATAATCTGCAATGTCAAATAAATGTAGTGGAGTTTTAAAATATATATGAATACCATGTACTTGCCTCTGGAATTTAGTCTAGCAGATGTACGGCGGAGTAAAAAAAACTGCATCAGTGTTTCTGTACTTCTGTAGCAAATGTACTTTGAATACAGGAATTTGGGGGCTAAATGAGGGAAAGTTGAGCAACAAAACTGCTTAGTTAATTCAAAACTAAACCTAAAAAAAACCCATATTAACACCACACACCCACTCATCCACCCCCCTTTTGTTTTCTAGCCGGTTACCCTTTTGTTTTGCTTTTATTCAGAAATCATGGCTGCATCTTATTGTGTTCCAGTTGTTGGAATGTGGCTTAACCTATGTGCTCCCTATGTGCTGAGTGCAATAATGTGTGTGTGAGAGCATGTGTGTGTGTGTGTGTGTGTGTGTGTGTGTGTGTGACGGCGCGTGCTTCACTGCAAAGATTCATGTAGCTCCAGGACATGCATTTTTTTTTTTTAGTGCATCTTGTTAGTTCATTCCTGTCACCTCTCTCTCCCTCTCTCCCTCTCTCTCTCCCTCTCTCCCTCCCTCTCTCGCCATCCCTTGCTTTTTCAGCGCTGAAGGGGGGATGGGGAAGGGGAGGCGGACGGGGCTGGGAGGGGAGAGAAGGGGGGAGGCGGTGGCGGTGGAGGCAGTCACCATGGCTACAATGCCACGACAAATATTCATCAAGTCGTTAAAATAAAAACAAACGGGAGTGCATTATAATTGCTCTTACTGACTGGATCCAATAATGCGTTCATATATTATGAGTGAGAGGAGCGGAGTGGAAGGACTCGCACACGCACAAAAAAAAATGATGTTAGTGATTAAAAAATATATATATATGTCAGCTGACCTGCGGGCAAAAGGAATGTAACACACGCTCGCATTCACATGCATTTCAACTCTTTTTGTGCAACTTTATTTCCCCCATTACCTGCTTATGGAATTCCCTGTGAGTACTTTCGTGAGTCTCTCCTCTCTTTTCTCTTTGTCCCTCCATCTCTCGCTCTTCCTCTACTGTTGTGTAGCCTCAGGCGATACTGTGATGTGTCCTCCCTCTGTCCCTCCCTCCCTCTCCCTCTCTCTCTGTCCCTGTCACCTTCAATTGCTCTGTGAAACTAGACACAGTGCCTGGGGCAGGGAGGGAGGGAGGGAGGGAGGGAGGGATACAGGGAGGGAGGGAAGAGAGGAAAAGAGAGAGGGAACAAGGGAGACAGACAGACAGCTTTATAGACAGACAGAGGGAATAAACACTTGGTGTCATGTAAAAAACAAATAGGATTACCGCAGTCCAGATGTGTGGCAAATCAATCGACTGAGTCATGTTAATGGTCTAGATCGAGCCACAAAGATGGAACGCTCAAATATTGTGATACTGGAAACAACAGAGGCACAAATTTGCCCAATTTAGGGCAGAGTTCGACCCTTGACCTGGCCGTGTGTCTTTCATCCTGTGTGCGCTTCTCCACAGACACCTGTTAAACAAGTTGCACTTCCCACCTTTCCACTTTGTCCCTGCATTCACTGAGAACAGCTAATACCTGGATGCCACAGACTGCAGGGCCTCGTACAGCAGGTTTGACGATTACTGTGACATAAAATTAGGATAATAACAACTTTTAGGAGGAATTTAAAAACATGAGCTGCTTATTTCATGATCTGAGCTGGTATTGCTTTTGACCATAAATTACTAGATGAAGTGTCTGTACAAAAAGGTGCAACGCAAATAAATAAAGACGCTTTGATCGTCATGTAAATACCTTAAACAAAGAGGTGAGCTTTAAAGCTCATTTTAATGTCAATCTGCTCATTTGCAAGAACAAATAAGATGCTCTTGTAAAAACATGCAGTCAGCACCTCAGTGCATCTCTCTAATCAAGCAATGAAATCAAGTTTAAGACCACATTGTTATTATTATATTCTTAAAATTTGATACTACAAACCTATGAAATACTTGTTTTTAAGTATTTAATCTGTCACAGTAAAACCTAATCAGTATGAGATTTAACTCAAAAATCTTAAAATTGAACCTGATTAATCCTAATCCTAAATTCTTGTACAGAAAAAAGATAGTAAAGTGAGAACAAATGCAGTGCCTGATAGAGTAGTGATTAAACATAAGTACCATATGTTAGCAAAAATAAAAACAAAAGCTAGCAAGCTAAAAATAAACTCCTCTGACAGGGATTACTTCACGTTACTTATCAACCTAAACACTAACATTTGCAGCTGCATGCAGGCGTTTCTCTGAGCTTCGATTACTTGAATTTGAGGGTCCTTGTTATCCACAAAAACACTACCTGTTCCTAAATAGGCTATGGAGGAATGCTGTTACAACTCTTCGATTTCATTGGCTCTGGTGGACTGAGGGGGCGGGACAAGGGATGTGATTGGATGCAGGTGAGGCCACAGGTAGCAGCTGATTGAGAGCGAAACGTTTACTCGGAATTTACTCGATACCAACTGATTTGGTTAAACCGGGAGACATTTGAGGGATTTTATCGACGGCAATACGCGATTTTAACTCGTGTAACTTTATTAAGTTGATGTTTTGCTCGAGTTTCTGTCATAAGATAGAATAAATTATAGAGTACACGTTTTATTGAAGTTAAATTTGATTTATCCACGTCAGGAGATTAATTGTAGTACATTTGTAGCACGAAACGCCACAAAATGTCGCCGAAACTGCGGTTTCTAGCTGGTTTTTGGTGCTTAACAGGTGAGTGTCGACCGTTATGTTGTGTCTCCTCCTTGTCTTTTCCTCCTCTCGCCATGTTTCTTTGTCCGCCCTAAAAACGTAGATTTTGTGCTCTTATCTGATTAAACCAAACAGGAATGTGGTGTTTGAAGTTCACACAGCTCACCTGCTTTGGTCTGGGTGGAGCAGAAATGTAATTAATGCGCATTTTTAAGGTATTTTGGCTTCTAATGCGCAAGAATGTGGTCGACCCCCGCTAATGGAGAACAGGATCGTGGGAGGGATGGACGCCTCGGACGGGGCTTGGCCGTGGCAGGTGGACATTCAGGTAGGAAGCACTGGTTTTTACACCCTGATCCTCTGATCCTGGTTGGTCTGTGTGGAGCCTGTGGGCAGATACACGTGTGGTTTTAGTGTGTCAGACTGCTGAGAGAGGGGGTTTGCCTGTGATGCTCAGGTGACTCACCCTTCTCTCCCCTCGGCTTGCAGAAAGGCTCTGATGGTCATGTCTGTGGAGGCTCCATCATCACCGAGAACTGGGTCCTATCAGCCGCACACTGTTTCCCCAAGTAAGACCCCAAAAACTACTAAAAATCAGCAGGTATGGTGCCTGAGCTGCTACCTGCAGGCTCACTGCTTCTGTTTCAAGTCAATAATGGTAATGACCAATGCTGTTTTTTTTAAAAACGCCTCCAGGAAACTACATTTTATCATCTGTAAACCGTCCGTTATATTCAAAATCTGCTGTGTTCAATTTAGAAGAGCTGCATTTTTTTGTTGCATACAGGAAACACTTCCTGTACAGAACAAGGACGCGCTAAACAAACTGACATAGACAGGCTTTGCTTGAGTTAGTGACAAAATGTAAAACTGCAGTCAGAGCTTATGGGTTCATAATGATGGCTATCAGGTTTCCTCTGCACAGGACGGACCCCATGGCCTTCTGCCTACTTTAGACAACAAGGACCGTTTGTTATAATAGAGAGCTTTGAGAAATATAAAAGTTGTTACTGCAAATAATGCAAGAGAGGAATGCTGGTAGAAAACTGTTAATCGCAGACGTTCATGTGTTATTTTACCACTCAGTGAACTCTTCATGCAGTTACCACTGCACGTACCTCTGAAACTTTAAACTTCATTCGTGATGTCTAACGTTGCCCCATCATGAAGGATACATGGAAATCACTTGAGTTTATTTGGCCAAGTCAAAGTTAAAATAATGTTGTTGATTGAATATTCTCAGTAATACATACCAATCCAGGTTCTATGAGCTGCACTACCATAACTGACTTGACTGCAAGTCAGAAACAAAATTTAAAAACATATTCATGCGTTTTCTGTTCCTGTTGCAACTTCCCGGCTTTGTTCAGTGGCATTAACACCTCGACAGGTTTGCAGATAAAATGTGTTCTGAGGTTCTGTATCACTCAGAGGAAATCGTCAGGAACAGATGTGGTGAAAAGGTGGTGCTTCTTTCAGCTGATTTAAATTCTGACCAGTAAACAGGACCTCTTCCTGTTCAGGTTAGCTGTGCAGCATCTGTTACCATGGTGATCTGGCAGGTTGAAAGTGATCCACCTTCATCACATTAAAAACTAGATTTAGGCTCAACATGCCTCTCTAATCCGTTATTGTTGTTTCATAGTACTTAAGTCTTATGAACTAGAATTCTAGTTGTTGAAAAGAACAGAAGAAAGAAAGGAGACAAATCCTGCAAACTGCTGCTCATTCATTTGTTTCATTACAGGTTTTAAATTTCCAAACCACAATATGATCATCACCCCTATCTCAGGAAACACCTGCTCGACGTACATTTAATACCCCATGTTTAGTTACTGTAAAATATAAATGCAAAGGGTTCACATTTCAGTCTAGCAGGTTTCATTTGTTGTCCTTCTGTCTTCTTTCAGTCCGTCTGACGTGAGCGCTTACATCATCTACGTCGGCCGATACCAGCTGAACAACTACAACCCGCACCAGTCCGTGCACCGTGTGAGCCGGGTGGTGATCCCGTACGGCTACAACGAGCCTCACAGCGGGAAAGATGTGGCGCTGGTGCAGCTGTCCAGCCCGGTAACCTGGTCAGATCACGTCCGTCCCATCTGCCTGCCCGCCTCTGGCACCTCGTTCCCAGGTGGCATGATGTGCTATGTCACCGGCTGGGGGAACATCCGGGAAGACGGTAAGGCTCGCTGAATTCTGCACTGAACTTTTATCCAGCAGTAGTATTGGATTTCTTTCATTTACTGTTTGTCTTCAGTATTACAACATGGGATAGATGGATTCTACCTGCCCATCCTGTACAAAAGAGTAATGTCTGAATAATTTTATGGCTGAATTCTAATGAAATCTTTTTGATGACTGAATTTCAGTCAGCTGTGATCAGACTGTGTGATTGAAAGTTGTCATCAAATTTATCATAAGGCTTATTTTTTTCTACAGTGAACAGTTTTGTCTGATGTAATATATGAATACATGCAGTGAAACATACCTAACTATATGTGTATAGATACATACGCCTTTTTTTCCACAAAGATCAATGCCTTGAGGATATTTTTATTAGCTTTAAAAAAACACAAATAACGTGACACCTCTAATGAAAAGTCAACTGTGTTTTCAAATGTTTTTAGGTTAAGCTTTACACTGGACATACATTCTCTTTGCGTGTTGATTAAACTGCTAAAAAACTGCCTCTGTGTATCAAAGTTGCATATTTAGAAGTTTTTTCTGTGACTCCTGGATGTAGCTCTACCACCATTCATGCCGTTGCTTCCTGTCTCCATCTGTGCTCGCTGAAGCTGGAGCACACCAGCTCACCTAAAACTGCTTTGTTCCATAAAGTTTAAATTCATCTGTACATGTTTGAACCGGAGAATGATTCTGAAGAGCAATGACACAGAAAGCACCATCCCACAAGTTTACAGGATTGGTTCCTTAGGTTTGTTGCGTATAAAACCCCGGAAGTCTGACCTGAGTTTTTGAAACTCTCATTGGTACCCTACATTTTAAAGGCAGAAACACTCAGCCATGGCATTCACAGCCTAATAAAAAACACCATAGGGGCATGTTTGCAAGGTAAAAAAAAGACCAAAAACATAATTTTCGGATCATTTCTTTTGTGCCGTACTAGGCGGTAATAGTAAGAAAAAAAAGTTCTCAAACTCCTTCTTGTCCTTTGTCTTCCATGTGTCATCGTGTCCCCCTCAGTCCCTCTGTCTGGAGTCGGGACTCTGCAGGTAGTGCAGGTGCCAATCATCTCCCAGAGTTCATGTCAGGAGATGTACCAAACGGACCCGAAGGAGCAGGTGGACATCCTGTATGACATGATCTGTGCTGGATACCAGGAGGGCGGCAAGGACTCCTGCCAGGTACTGTTGGATCAGCTGTTTGTGTTGTTGTTTACGTTCGCAAAGCAAGAACCTGCAATGAAAATGACCTGGATCTCGCTTCTTCTTTTCTGTAGTCACCAACTGTCTAGTTTCTAAGACCTTTGGTACATCCCAGGGGTGAAAGCTGAGCGAGTCTGTATGTTTTTCTTCTCAGGGAGATTCAGGAGGGCCCCTCGTCTGCCAGATGGTGAATGGGACCTGGGTGCAGGCCGGGGTGGTGAGTTTTGGTCTGGGCTGTGCTCATGAAAACAAGCCAGGTGTGTATGCCAGACTGACTAGCTACTCAGGCTTCATCACCGACACGATACCAGAGATCCGACTGCACGGCCGAGCTCATCAGAACTGGTGCGGGAGGGCCGTCATGTTGCTCAGCGTTCTGTCCACTCTGCTGACGCTGCTTCACAGATGAGACGCTTAAAAAACTGGATTTTACGGAGGCCGAATGTAAAGGAGTGTGAATGAAGGAGATTAATTGTGAATGTCTAACTCATTTCTAAAGTGGTCCTGAATAGTCCAAATAGAAATCTGTCCCATGCACATAAAGCCATATTGAACTTAAAATCCTAATTTTTTAGAACTCTGCATTATGAGCTTTGATTCAAAGTAGTTTTGATAGGTTTGTATTTTAAATCAGAATTATGAGCTAAATAAATAATGTCTTTTTGTATTTGAAATAAATTGTTAATTTGATTCCTAAAATCAGCTCACTGGTCTGTTCATCCATCTTTGTATCATGTTATATATGGACTCAATCTTCAGTTATGTCCTTTCAAAAATGTCCTAAATAATTTAACATTCGAACGCAGCCATTTTAGATGTGAACACAGAAGTTTGCTGTGAAGTAATTCAATCCTGTTTGGGTAAAAATGTTTAGCATATTTAATTTTAAAAAATGAACTTACTCTCCATCTACACATAATGTAGTTCATTAAATCTCCAGACAAACACAGGTGATGACACAGTTTTCTTTATTAAAAAGAAAGCGCAGCATGTCATAATGGTAAAAAAGAAAACAAGATGGCTTAATTGTGCCTATTTAAAAAAGCTAGCTTTTAAATTAATTTGATAAGTCTTGAATCAAAGTTTTCATGGTACAAAAAAACATTTACACAGTTCCAAGTGTCGACTTCCAGGAACGGGTCAGTCAGGCGTCTGGGGGAATGGTATCGGAGAGAATCATGGGAGAGCCGAGCTGCAACTCCTGCTGCAGCGACTCCAGATCCGCCGGAGTCATGCGGTGAATCTCGCTCCAATCAGATAAGAGGGAGGCCGAAAGAGGGGCCGAGTCATAACTGATGGAGAAGAAGAAAATGCAGAAGGCATGAAAGAAAGTGCCAACACTCCAAGTAAACACTGCCCTGAATATTATTTAGATGTATGTCATCAAATGAAGCCCATTTAGCAGCATTTGTTGTGTCCTCATTTAAACCCAGCTTTTCAATTTGCTGCTGACAAGTCATTTACAGAGTTGATTATTATAAAGATGACAAGGAAACACATGAGCTAAATCATTTACTAAAATTAAACCATCAAGGGGAAACACGAAGCAGGTTGGAGGACTCTGATTACATTGTACTTTTGATATGACAGCGAGATGCGTTGTTTGCACTCGGTGGGTTGACATGCGTCATCCAACCTGACACCGCAACTCTGCTCCTTTGCTGGGTTTAATAACTGTCTAAAACTCAATGTAGGAGGACAAACATTATGTTTTTTTACTGCTGACCAGCTTTAAGGTAGTAGTTTAGATCATGTTAACTGAAAAGATGTACTGTAGTGTGTGATTCCTAAATGAACACACTGTCGTCATTTGGTTGGACATAGCTACACACTGGATTAGGATTTTGGCTCAAGGCAAAGAGCATTTTTCTGACATTTTACAGAAAAAACTATTAATTGAAAAAAAATAATTAGCAACTTTTGGGATAATAAATCACTGATTACAGTCATAAAACTAAACAGTTTACCCAAAAGAAGATAAAAATTGCACCCAAGTCCGAATGGGCAAGTCTGTAACACCCCCTGGAAGTTATTTTGGGCTAACGGGAGCTGGCCCCTGTTTAAATGGTTACCGCAACATAAAAACTACGGGTGCATTCCAATATCCGTACTACCATACTATATATATAGTATGCCAGAAAAAGATTTAGTGAGGAAAAAGTGGCGAGCCCCCCCAGCATAACGTCTCTGGCTGCGTACAGTAAAGGGCCCTGGTATATGTGTAACGAAGCACTTAATAGAGAAGTGACCCTCCGTTTTGAATCACTGTGACCTTTGTTATAAATTCATACTTGCAGCCACTATGGAATCGAGGAACACTTACAGTGACCAGTCAGGGTTTTAATGTACATATGGGCCCATTAAAATTGCATTAACACACAGGTAGGAAAAATGTGAACCTATCTTGCGCTTACTATGATGAATCTGGTGCAAAAATAAAATATTAATGTAAAAACACAGCTCCACAAGTGTTGTAACAGCAGTGGAACTATTGTGCAGGTGTACAACCACATGTAAACGACAATGACTATCAGATGCATACTTGCAAATAATTGTCCGACTCGATTGGGCTAAACTGAGACCGAAAACATTTTTTTTTCCCCAGCAGCAGATATTCTTTTTTTTTTTCACATAACAGCTGTATTAGACCTCACCTGTCAGAGTGTTGCAGGTCTGTAAGAGATTGGTTGAGAAGGTCATCCAGATCAAAGCCCACGCCGTACCCAGCCCCACTGCCCTTAGGGGTGACTGAGAACACAGGGGGTAAAACGTCCTCTACCTGACAGGAGAAGGTGGAAAACATTGGGTCAGCTGAACTTTGTATCCTTCAGATCAGTTCAAGGCAAGCAGAAGATGGTGACTTTTAAGCCTGGTATATATGTACAAGAAAAATATATATTTAAGGCAACAGCAGTGTGCTGTCCATACGTGTAACATCTATTGGGAAAAATGCTCAATGAGAAAAACTTTCCAATAAATTCCAATGCACACCTGGGACTTTGACAGCTGCAGTGTCACTGTGTGGATGTCGGGGGCAATGGAAGGTCCTTGCTGTCCAGTATCTGTGAATCCTAAGCTGGGATGAGGCTGAGAAGGGACCCCTAAAGCCCCGCAGAGAGGGTTCGTGGACTGTGGTCCAGTTTTCTCTCCTACAGAGGGACAAAGCTTCTCCATTGGCCCGGCACTTGCAGTCAAGGAGTTAGGGTGGGAGTTGAGGTTATTTTGACCCCTGATATCCACATTCCCATTTGTCTCTCTGGTGCTCAGTGTTGGAGCTTTAGACAAAAAACTCTCCAGGGGAAGCAGCTGTGACTGAGGTTGAGGATCAGGTTGGGTTTGACTCTGAGGTTGGAGCTGGGGCTGCAGAAAGCTCGATGGTTGCGACGTCCTGTTTGGTTGTTGCGGCGGCCTCGTCTCTAATTGCTGCCCGCTCCAATTCCCCAAACAGTTAAATCCACTTTGCCCGTTGCTCTCATTGTGAGGTTTGAGTGTGTTGTTTTTAACAAAGCCACTAGTGACGGTCATTATATCTAGCCCTCCGCTTACAGCGACAACCATATCCGCTGGAGGCTTCCTCTGGCTCATGGAGAAAAGTAACGACGGTTGCTGGGTGCTGGGAGGCTGAAACAAGCCCGGCTGGTTGGGTTTAACTTGAGAAATTAACTGTTCATGAGACTGAATCTTCCTCCCCTCCTTGTCTGTTTTACTGTTCATTGCTCCTTGAGTGTTATCACCAATAACAACACCTCTGTGCGAGTTCACATTACTGTCCTTCTTTGCTCCGTCGTTATTAGAGGTCTGTGATTTCTCATTGCAGCTGTCCATCATCTTTGTCCAGCGCTGCAAAAGGCTTTTATCATTGTCACTCAGCAGAACCCCACCCAGCGAATCCCCTTGTTTTCCCTCTCTTCTTTCCTTTTCCTTCATTTTCCTCTCCCTCTCTCTTGCTCGCTCCTGCCTCTTCCTTCTTTTCTCCTCTCTCTCTCGTTGACGCTCCTGGGCTGTGACAGGCCGACGCGACTCTGGAACAGAAGACAGGGAGGACGATACACCTCCTCCTGCGCCGGCGTCGATGCCCAGAGCAGAGGTACCTCCCTCTGCAACGAAGATATCAAATTCAGATGAAGCAGATTTAAAGGATGGCATGTCAGAAAACATTATTTTAAAACGCAGATAAGTAAAAACAACTAACTTACCACCCCTGGATTTGTGTCTGTAAGCTGATTTCATTAAAGCTGCTCTAAGTGCAGCTTTGGTGTCCTCTGAAATGGCGCCTTCTTTTCTGGTTCCCTCGGCTGCACACGGAGGAGGCCTGACATTCTTGGACAGTGACTGTGAAAGGGACTGAGAAAGTGACTGGGCCTGTGTCACGGAGAGAGAAAGGGAAGGCACAGTGGTGGGAAGGGGAGTCATGGTCTGTGCTGGTGTTGCAGGAATGGAGGTGGGAGCCTGGGTCAAGGCCTGGCTCTGGGTGTTTTGAACCAGAGGAGCCTGACTGCTAGTTAGCTGCTCCTGAGCCTCACTGTCTCTCATTGTGTCTGATGGCGCATCCTGACTCGACACTGGTGTTGTTAAATCTATAGTCTCGGGCTGACCGCTGTCCGAGTTGGCACTGGGCATGTCCACGTCAACTGGGCCACCTTCGCTTTTAGTGAGAAGAGGCAAATTATGGGTCACATGAGGCGGGGCAACTTCTAACAGAGATGCAGGCTTATTAAACGACTTCATCTGATTTGTAAATACATGGTTCCCTTCTGCTGGTGCGTGGTCCTGTTGCTGCTGAGATTTCACCTCTCTCATTTGCTGCTGCTGTATCTGTGCTGTTTGTGGGTGTTGTGCCATAGGAACCAATGTAGGCTTGGTCAGGTTGACAGTCGCTGACTGAGCGTTACGCTGGTTACTGTTTTGTGCTGCAGCTCCGCCGTTCACCCTCGGCAAGGGCCGGAACTGCAGTCTCTGACGACAGCTCTGTTTGTTTCGATGAAAGTCCTGAATCTCCATCAGAATGGCCTCTTTAATTTGCTCTTTGTTCATTTGAAGCTTGTCAAACTCAAAGTCAAAAGCCGGCACACAAATCGGCTCATCGTCTGGGTCGTGGTACTTGGCCAGGTAAGGGTGCTCCAGAGCTTCTGTCACACTGATTCGTTCACGAGGATCAAAGCGCAACATGGCAGCCAGCAGGTCTAAAGCCTCCGGTTCAGCTTGCGGGTACAGTTCGGCCAAAGGCACGGCGGACCGTGATGGAAGACTCTGAACATAGGAGCGCACCCGGTCAGCCCTAATAGCACCGATTAACCCCTCAGGAGGAGTTCCTAACACATTCAAAATGAGCTGGAGCTGGTGTACGTAGTGCTTCCCGGGAAAAAGCTGCTTACGACCCAACATTTCAGCAAAGATGCAGCCCACTGACCACAAGTCAATGGCCAAGCTGTAGTGATTCAGAGACAGCAGGAGTTCAGGAGCACGGTACCATCGCGTTGCAACATATTCAGTCATGAAGGAATGAGACTCCTCCGGATGTGAACTGAGACCTCTTGCCATGCCGAAGTCACCGATCTTCAGCTCACAGTTTTCGTTCACCAACAGGTTGGAGGGTTTGAGGTCACGGTGGATGACGTTGGCAGAGTGCACATACTTAAGGCCACGGAGGAGCTGGTACAAAAAGTAGCGCGTGTGCTCTGGGGTTAGTGTCTGGGCCGAGTGTATGATCTGGTGCAGGTCACTCTCCATTAGGTCCAACACCACGTACCTGCAGACACACAGGAAGAGGAAAAGTGAGATGAGAGAGATGCTCAGTCTGCTCATCTGACATGAAAAACTAACGTCATTTTGATTCACTGAGTAAATGAAGTAAACTGTGACCATGTGGAAAAAGGATGCATCGTGGTAGAATGTCATTTGCAGCAGAAATTCGGAACAAACTCCTTTCATTTGTGATAGTGATCGTGCACCATTAAAGGATTTCTTAGCAAATGAACATCTTCCAAATATTCCAACTCAGAAAAAGCTGATATAGCAGCATAACACATGCAGGACAAAGTTTTCAGACCAACATGGTTTTTGTTTTTTTTTGTTTTTTTTTGTTTTAAATTAATCTCATGTTAAAAACTTAATTCAGTTATATGTTGGTGAAAAGTTCCTCTAAGTGTAATTATAATAATAATAATAATAATAATAATATATGGATAATATAAACGATTTAAATTTTTTTTTTTGCAAAGCTCTTAGTTTAAAAAAAAAAAACTTATAGTGTTCTACAGACTATTCTGGCCTAAGGAAGTTTGCTTTTTTTTTTTTAAAGTACATACACAGACTTGAAGGCAGAGTGAGGGAGGTTCGGCTGCAGGATGTCTTTGATGGCAATAATGTTGTCATGTTTGAAGTGCTTGAGAATCTTCAACTCTCGCAAGGTGCGTTTGGCATTTGTCACCACTTCAAAAGCATTGGAGATCTTCTTTATCGCCACCTGCTGGCCTGTGAAATGTAAACGTAGGACAGAGTTTGAAGGGCAACAGATGCTGATAATGAATTTGCACATTCCATAATGAGTGAGCATTGCAGCGCACACAGAATGAGCCCTACCATTATCCCTCCTCCTGGCGGATGAAACGACTCCATAGGCCCCAGTGCCAATGGTTTCAATAACGTCATATTCCTCCCCGACGTCAAACTTCACATCGAGAGAGTGTGCTTTAAGCAAAGCCAAGTTTTTTGCTGCTGTGCTGGTGTCCGCGGTGCTGCCTGCTGCCTCAACTCCATGCTGGTTCTGGGTTTCTCTGCTTTTGTTGGTGGCCATTCTTTCAGGGGATGCCACAGGTTGACCATTTTTGCCTTCTCCACCCTCCTTAGTTGACATGTTTCTGTAAAGAATGACAGACAGCAAAGTGAGACATACTCATCTGTATCATAGTAGAGGTTCTTATCTGTACTGCTTTTCTGTTTAATACAACTTGAGTTGCATCAGCATCTTTAGTATCAGCACGCTGTCAGTCCTGGCTGACAAAAATCTATATGGACTGCATCTGTTCAGTGCTAGTTTTTCTGCTCAGATTTGGCCCAACTGTATGTTTTGGCATTTTTTGTGATTTATTCAACTACATCTTGATATAGTGATATAGTTGAAATCATTATTGTTAGTTTGATACTATATACTGTATTGTCTACTACAATATGCCAAATCCATACAGCAATCACAAAACACTGTCTAAAACAAAAAACTTCAATAGATATTCTAATGATTTTTTCCCCCCACAATCCTTCCCTAAAAATGAATTGTTTGGACAACAGAACTGTGTAGTTTATCATAATCAGATTATATCATCATAATGTAATGCTGTTGAATGTTGACAAACAATAATAGTTAGATGTAGGTGAGGTACTGACCAGCCTGAGATAAAACAAGTAGCTTGATGATCAAATAAATCAATGAGCCAGAAATGAATGCGCAATAGAAAAACAACCATTTGTAGTAGCTTCTGAATATTCCTCAATTTTACGTTCTCGTTTAGACACATTTAAATTAGTTTCTTCTGGCTCTGGGATTTGTTTTGTTGTTTCCTGACTAAACAATAAGTTACACAAAAAATAACAATAAGCACATCAATACTAAGTTAAATAATAGCGACTAGTAGCAGCGTTTCACAAAAGTGTCACGCTCTTTAAATCTACTTATCAGCATCGTCTGACGGTGAGCAAAATGTCAACTCATACGGGTCCATTGCTGCCTTTTAGTCAACACTAACCCGTGTGTCCTAGCAACAAGTAACTCTTAGTTAATGAAACAAAGACACAGAATAGAAAACCACTGATCCTCTGGTCCTGAGCCAAGAGACACTGAATCTAACTTTTCCGAGTTTGAGCTTCAATGTAAGTCTGTCAAAGTTAAGTCATACCACACAGCTCATCTCTTGTTTTTGAGAACAACTGAAATTATAGTTCATAGACGGGAATATAAAGTTCAAACACATCGATTTTGTATTTATGGTCATTCCTCAGTGCTGGATGGGATTTGAAGGAAAAGACAACTCTGAATAATGAGGCTGAAAGCATACAATATTTCTCCTTATAATAAAATATTTCCACTGAACCTTTTTACCCATTGATGAGTTAAGAAGAAACACTATTAGATAAAATAGATTCTGAAAAGCTGGATTTGCAGTCATTGTTTCTCTGACACTTTTTCCCGACTAAGGAAAATGTTTTGTAAATGGCACTATTTCAAAGGAATGTTGAGAATGTTGTTCTGAAAACAAAGTACCTATTGTAGTGTCTTCACTGATTGATGAATTCTAGACCAGGAAACCGGAAACGTCCTGAGACACCACCTGGATGGAGCCACTTCAGGAGTTTATACCTTAAAGGTCATTCAGTGGTTGTAAAGCTACAACTGAGACTCAGCTATCACAAGTAAAACTTCGCTTCATGAAGATAATAACGGCGATTATAAAGTCTATCAAATGAAAACACGTGAATTTGAACCTTTAAATGCTCACAAACCAAACTGATTGAGCTAATGGGACAGAAACGAGGCGTGACCGAGCAGCACGTTTCCCGGCGGCAACTTCACACCGTTAGGCCTGGCAGCGAAGTGGCCAAAACCTGTAGCTCTCAGTCAAACAACGCCTCCACACAATAGCTGGGGTCCATGTACAAGTAGCTCCACGACAAAACCTCGAGAAGCTCCAAGGAGGCGTTAGTTTTTGCACTAAACAGCGATAAATAAACCAACTACATGCTAAGGACGCAGCCTTACCCACTTCTTGACGCAGGGGCGTAGGCTAGTTAACGTTACCTGAACCTCTGGCTTTCTAGGAACGTAAGCTGTTAAACCGCCTATTTCTCGTCTAAAAACCCAAACGGGACAGCACAGGTAAGTGTTTCAATATAACAGAGCATACTCTCACCTTTTGAGCCAACCACCACATCCGTATTGATGTTTTTAATCCCGCAGCAGCGCGACTATCTCTTGTTTTTGTCTGCCGCTTCCTCGTACAGTTCCGTATTTGGTTTGACTGCCATGCGGCGAACCAATGGGCTGAGGGGACGTCGACGAGGCCGTCCAATAGGAGCGAAGGAGGCGGGACATTACGGCAGATAGTAGGGTCTCTGTTTTTATTTATTTATTTATTTTTGGGTGGTGACGCCGTTTTCCAGAGTTTAATTACTTTAGGAGGGGCCGCAGTTGGAGAAAATTACCTGCAATTTGTATGTATGAAGCACAACAATAACAACTTTACGGAACAAACACTACAAACACAGCAACTACTAATATTACTAATAATGTTAGTCATAATATTGATACTAATCTTTCATTAATAGTTTGAAAGAAAGTAAGCGAAAGAAAACTTTATATTCGGCTGCATTTTGAAAAAAAAATCATCTACTTTCCTTCCAATGCATTTTGAATATTTAATCTACATTGTTATAAGTAAAAACCCAATGTTGTGGTTTGAAGACAGTTTAATTAAACAGTTTGATTTAACTATAGCTATCTATCTTGTGTGCACAATATAAGGTTAACTTATTATTATTTTGACACAGGATAGAAATACAGAAGAGCCTCTGTGTTTTTCGTGAGTTATTTCTGGCTTCTCGTGCTGCTTTCCACAATGTAATTGCTAAGAGAGCCCACATTTGGAATAAATCACCAGCACTTCATCGGTACTCATACTTTCAGTCTACTATGTTTCAGATTGATTGATTGATTTAATGTCCAGCTTTAGTTAGCCTAATGCTTATTTTGCAGACTGGAATTTTAAATCCCACTCTTGGGATTATTTCATCTATATTATTATGAGTTAACACCCAATTCCTCAGTAAAAACCCCCGCAAATATCAGGTAATCGTGCAGGACCCACTTTAGCTGATATGCATAGTGGATTTAAATATTAACTGTGTTGAACAAACTACCACTACTGCTGCTGCTACCAGCATAACTAATGATAACCCTAATAATAACAATCCAACACTTTTCTAAACTCCTATAATTAAAAAACAAACATCATCGTTTGATGACAGTTTGATGAAATACAGTTTTACTCTAACGATGTCCATCATACATGTACAATATAAAGTTCAATTTAGATATAAGGTTTTGACTCAGGACCCTTTTTAAGAAAACTTTTTAAACACATTGGATTAGAATGTAGCTGATTTTGTACTTTAGTGGTGCAGATTTTTAAAATGACTACAACTAATGAAAGTGAATATAACCAACTCACAGATGGTGAATGTGGATTATATGGAGACAGTTTTCCCTTTTTGTTAAGCGTGTACTTTAAGCAACAATCATTACAAACGACAGTATTAAAACCTATTTAAAATGTTCTACTGGCTGCTTTGTTAATTTTATATGCATGTAGTTGATAGAAACTTCTGCAGTTAAGCCAAATTTTAAATGCAGGACTTGTACCTACTGGAATATCTTTTTTTTTTTTTTTTTTTACACTTTTATTGAAGCAAATCCGGGTACTTTTTCCACTACGTGTTGTATATGAGGTAATACTTCAAACAACACATTGTGCAGTTAAAAAGCTGTTTGGTTTGAACAGCGTGGGCAGTTGTTAACATTTCCCCAAAGGGCCAAACAGACTGAAGTCCACAGTAAACACACAGTAACCGCCCATCTGGCTGAGCTAACATCTGGGTCAGAGCGTCCAATGAGAGGCGGCCGCTAAACTCGACCGGACCAACCAGAAGCGAGGATCTGATTTTTAACACGTCGCCTCGACTCTGAGGATAACTTAGAGAAGAAACAGATTGATTTCGGCCCCCTACCTCTGTCATACAAAGAGTCCACATGGCTGCGGCTGACGGGTTGCCGAAATGGGAGAGAAAAGCGCGCGTATTTTTGTGCCTTTTCGGTTTGGTTTTGTCCGTTTACGCGCTTCACGTGGAGCTGTCCCGAGAACACGACCCAGACTACAGAGCGATGTGCGACCTGGGGGAGTCTGTGAGCTGCTCTAAAGTCTTCACGTCCAGGTATGACTCTGTTTGTTTGTTTTCTCAGTCAGCTCATCCGTGCGCCTTTGTGCGTAATCAGTCGACCTTTTATCTGCGCTCCTGTAACCTTTGATCCACAACTAGTCCCAACTTTTCCTTGCAAAACACATCATTTGGCACATTTTTATGACGGTTCCAGCCCCCTTCGTTGCCACGTGTTACACATTCCTGTGGAAACACTTTACATCAAGTACTATTTCACATTGTGAGAATAAAAAGTGGATGTTTTTCTTTCTTTTTTTTCAAGTTGCAAGACAATTTCTTAATTGCTGATTTTTTTTTCTTTTAAGATGAATAGAACTTTATTAATCCTGAGGGAAACTCTTGTGCCAGATATTGCTCAGAAGAACAACGTGAAAAGAAATGCAGCTCTGAATAGAGCAACAATAATATATAAATATGGTACATTTCTAAAAAACACAACCAAGTCAGCTAAAATACAACTACAATAAAAAAGTAATACTGAAATAGTAATGCTGCACACAATAAAGGAACTGATATTGGACAGCACAGTTTAGAAAGTAATACTGCAGATGACATTGATAATATTGTTCAGTGTTTATAATTATAAAGCATTTTTCACTTCATTTTCAGGAATGTGCTGTTCTGACTGTTCCCTTTCTCTTTTCTTTTTTTGGCAGATGGGGACGTGGTTTTGGTTTGGTCCAGTTGTTTGTGGCCCAAGATAACCCTTTGAACCAGCCCAACAGCGTGCTTGGCATCCTGTTTTACACTCTGCAGATGGGCCTCGGTTAGTCTGTCATTGTCTTGTGCAAATTACACTGCAATTCTGAGAGGTTTCAGCCTGAATATTCTTTGCAATCCTGCATTTTAGTGAATCCTGGCCGGGCATGCATTTCAGCTATTTGAGTATTGCATATTTTGTGCCTTTACTTTTACATGTATGCATCCAGTTCCATTTATTATATAGTTTTCTCTTGATGGTCTGAAATCTTCTGTGTTCGTTGCAGGATTGTCTCTGACTAAAAAAGCAGCAGTGTTTCTGGTCTTCGCCTCCTGGGTGTCTGTGGCCGGTTCACTCTATCTTGCGTCTATTCTCGCCTTCGTTCTGGGGGATTTCTGCATGGTCTGCGTGTCAACATACATTATCAACTTTGCGTTGCTCTACACCAACCTGAAACGAAGGGGAGCCATCGAAGGGATGAAGGAAAAGGCTGGATAGAAAGTGTTACTTGTGAAATGTAACACCTTCTTTTCTTTTTTTTTTTTTCCCTCCCACCTGCTAACCTGAAGCCACACTGGATCTGAAAAGCAAATTCTCTCCCACAGTGTTTCTGCAGCGTTTACAAATGTTTAGTTATATTCAGAGAAAAATGACGGGACATTCATCTCAGAAGCTCTAGAGGAGGATTTTCAGTAGAGAAACGGCATAAACAGATAAAACAGCAGTTATTTTTGTATGTCACTGTGCATTTGTGATGCTGATTACACAGTTTTTGAACACTACCTCTTGTCTGCTGTGATTTAGTCCTGACATGACAAAAATCCTAAAAGTGGATAAATGCTAATCTACAGGAAATTACTTGTTGTTAAAGCAATGCACAGAATTACTCAATCCTACCAGCAGAGGGAGCTAAATGCACAATTATCATTTCACTGGATTCAAACATTTAAACCAACTTTATTGGTATGAATGTTGCATTTGCATAATCACCAAATTCTATTTTTGACTAATCGTGACTCACACAAGCAAAGACAACACAGCTGAACAAAGTAGACCAAAGGGGGCTTGTGGTTTTTTTTTTTTTCTTGGTGTAGAAGCATTATTTCTGAACACTTTAGTCAAGAGGTGAATCGTTTACATGAGCACAGGTTAAATTTAGTGTTCCTGCCAGTAAGATATTAACTGATAAACCACAACATGAAGGTAAAGTGAACTATCTTAACCATCTCACAGTGCAACGTCCTGCTCCTGCTGTTCATGTATATGTTTTACATGCGCCGGCACTCCCCAACACCAGAGGTCTCTACGCTACTGCACAGATTCTGCTGCTCGTCTTCTGTGCTCCCCAGACCTCAATCTGATGGAGGATGCACCAGAACAAACTCGATCCACAGAGGCCCCCTCCTGCAACCCAGACGACCCAAAGGATTCGCAAAGGATCAGAGCTGTTTTGGTGGTATGAGGGGTCCCTACACAAAATCACAAATAAGGCTCAGACTTACTAAAAAACTTAATTCCATAAACCTAAAAGAAAACATTTACAGAATGAAAGACAAAATCAAAACTCTTTCATGCTCAAGCTGCAGATTCTCCACAGAGATTAACGATTCATTAATTTCCAGACCAGGCACGTGCCACTCTGTGTTAAAAAGAGACAAATCCTTTAATAAGTTTATTTGTTACCGCAGGTCCTTCATTCCAACTGCTGTCAGAATCAACATGCTGTAGTTCTTCTCTCCATACTGCGTCTTTGTATAACATACAGTACCCAGGTTTTCTCACGTGCAGTATACCCCTTACATACTCCCTTCTGTGCTGTATCATATTGTCCCATATTTTATTTTATTTATCTTTTTTTTATTTTAAAACATAGTATCCAATATATGGATCCACAGTGTATATAGTGTGTGTGTGTGTGTGTGTGTGTGTAGCTCTATTGTATTGCATATCTCAGCTCTTCCTATTTATAGTTTTATTTGTTCTCTTTTTCTTCCTGTCACCTTTTTGTGCTCTTTCCTGTATCTGTACTGCTGCAACAAGTGAGTTTCCCCATTGGTGGTAATAAATAAAGTGTAATGTAATCTAATCTAATCTAATCTAGTCTAGTCTAGTCTAATCTAAATTAGCACTGCTGCCGTTACTGTGCTGACATATACATAGACTGCAGCTTCACCTCCTCTTCAAAGTGACTAGCAGCAGAGTCTTGCAGCATGAAGAGGACCGTCCTCAGTACCTAACAGCTTCGATTTGCAGGCTTAAATAAGAACCGAAACAACACTTATTTACAGCACCTCTGAAACTTCTAACACACATTGGTTGCAAATTGTGTCAAAGTTGCAGACTGAGGCGTTGCAGACGAAAGTGTCCACATGTGCAGGTCAAAACAAGCTGAACGTTATCTGTTAGTGTTGTTGGTTGGGCAGGAACAGCAGGTCTGAAAATTGGTGTTTTATTTATTCTTGCTTTGTTAAGTTCAGCTTCTGCTGTCTACAAATAGCTTTAAAGTGGGTTAGATTTTGTAAAATGTGAATTTTTTGCGCTTTAAATCGTCATTAAGCCATGCTGTCCCGTCATCCGAGGCCCGGTTTCAGTCATCACATGAGCTGTTTAGGGTAGATGACTTCATCAAAACATCTGACAATCACATTGTTCAGAGGTCCACTGTCTGAAGTGTTGCTTCACCTGAATTTACCGAGATTTTACCGAGAGATGAGTCCAACAGCGCACAAATATTTATCTGCTGTATCACCTGCACAGCAACACCTGGACACACAGTCATGCTTCCTTTGGTTCAGATTATTTTATTTGCTCACCTAATCTCAAACCAAGCCTTTACCTCAGAAATGTCAATCTGTGCTCGCTACTGTCTTTTTAGTCACATGAACTTTTACTGTTAATTCTTTGTCTCATATGAAAAACGTTAAAGTTACAAATAATACAAGGACGTATGCACACAATCACAAACTCCACAGATGGTTAGAAAACAGGTGTGTAAAGCGCCTTTAATTTAAAAATTAAAAACAAAATAGATATAAATGCAATATATTTGAATCGAGGAAGCTCTTAGCTCATAGAAGAGTGTTTTAAAACAGAAGGTATCTACTGCAGATGTTTGTGGATATTGTTCAAGTGTAGAGGTTATTTCTGGGTCTAAAAGTCCAATATTTCAACTGATTGTAATTGGAGCTGCAAAGTTTCATAGCTTTTGTGTTAAAGAAAATAGAAGCCAGTTATTTGTTTCCGGCTTCTCTGATGTGAAGATTTGTTGCTTCTGTCTTTATTTCACTGGAAAAAAAAATCAACATTTAAACATCTTAAACTTGGATTATTTTTTCACATAATGGCAATAATCAACAATTTAACCTCTTACCTGAAATGGCAGCTGACTTGTGGACAGAATAAATACACAAAATCCACTTTTATCTTCTATCCTGATTAAATCTCATTACTTTTTCGCACCTCTTTTTTCAACTATTGTGCTTCTTGGCCATAACATCAGTCCCTCAGCTAATTATTTACTCTTTCTCTTATCCATTTCACACAGTTTGCTTCCTCATGGAGAAGTTTCCTATTAAATTCTGTGATTTGTTTTTCAAAAAACAGTGACTTATTCAGTTGTCATGTTTAATCTGTCACGTCCGCCACGACAAAGCTGCTTTTTATCTTTACAAATGATGACCAGACACAATATTTAGACCTTTAATTAATCATGCAAATCATCAAATAGTTTAAAAGCCTCTTGCAGATTTAAACTAATACTCATGCGTGAGGCGCTTTGTGGTATTTGTTGTAAGATTTGACAGCTGACAACATGCGAGTTTAAGAAAGCTCTGTCAACATGATTCACCAGCATGGTTTAGTCTTTTTTAATGCAAGCTGTAGTTTTCCGTGTTCCCTGTTCTCCATCATCCCTTTCTTACACACAGTATGTCGCAATTCAGGGTTCCTTCAAAGGATGCAGCCTATAGAGGCCACGTCTTCGAAAGATGTAAAGGTCAAACCCGGTGTTGTTAAATAGACGGTGTGGCCTTCGAAGAATCTCCTGCTTTCGTCACCGGCTGTTCCCGCCCTTCTCAGAGCGCCGCTCCCCATGTCGAGCAACACGACAGCCGAGGCTGACAGGTTGCACAAAGGCAGAGACTTTACCCGTTTTGACAAGATGCAGCTCAAAATTGTACAATTTTGGTAATTTATCATATGCAGGGGGGATGGAGATAAACCCAATACTTATATTTTAAATGTAATATTTGACTGCCAAAGTTCCACTTCACTAAGTTCACTATGTTCTCAACAATCTAACCAATCGTAATGAATCTCACAATGAATGATCCACCTGCTAGATCCTTTGTCCAGGTATAGATTAAAGCATTTTTAGGAGGACAGTCTTCATCACGCTGCTGGCACACATTCAGCCTTTACATCCCCTACATATAGACACAGCATGTGTAATTTCTGCTGCTCAGGGTCTCTCAATCAAAATAAACCTGAGTGGCTGTGGTTCTGGTGGTAGAGCGGTTGTCCTCTGATCACAAGGTTGGTGGTTCCATCCCCGCCCCTCCACAGTTGAAGTGTCCTTGGGCAAGACATTGAACCTGAAGTTGCTCCTGATGGCAGGCAGCACCTTGTATGGCAGCTCTGTCACCACTGGTGTGTGTGAATGGGTGAATGAGAAACACATTGTAAAGCGCTTTGAGTGTCGCTAAGGTAGAAAAGTGCTATATGAGTGCAGACCATTTACCATTTAGATACATGCAGTCTGATGGCGTCTTTCAGTCGTGTGAGATCACAGGAGTTGTTTTGAACACCACTGTCAAAGAAAGTCTAACTCGTGATCAGGCAGAGATCACGTACACAGATGAGTCTTATTCACGTCATGTTTAGTCAAGTATATGAACATTTAGTAATGTCATTCTAAGAATAACATAATCTAAATTGCTAAATCACAATTTGATGAGTCAAGTACCCAGGCAGCTACAGGGGGGGAGGAGATGCAGCGCTATCGATAACGCACTAAAATGAAATGTACCATTGCACTGAATACAATTGTGAATTTCTATGAATTAGAACATGATTGGAAACATTAGATAATATAAGTATCAGTAAAATCTTTAACTTTCAATGCAGAAATGTTACATATTTTACCTTTAGTTGAGTCAGATGTGAATCACCCGGCTGACACTCAGATCAGCGGCAGTTCTTCTATTTTAAGCAAAAAATAAGTAAACACTCAAAATATGACTTCATCTCAGTGTTTCTGGTGCCTCAGCAGGACTACAGGAACACTGTGAATGAATCCTACTAATAGCAATAACTAAAATGACTAACTAAGCAAACTCCAGCTTAATTGTATTTGTGAGTGAGTTTGGCGATGCAGCTACTCCAGGAAGTAGGAACCTGTTTACTTATTGTCCAACAGTGTGCTGACACCACTTACATTTCCAAGCTGTTGATTCTGAGAGTCCGTCTTTCCTATTTTCAGCCTCTGTGACAACGACAGCTGTGTGCACGATATCTCAGGAAAGTCTTGAGAGGTTTTCTTCAGATTTGGCTCAAACGTCCACTTCGACTTAATGACTGATTGGATTTTTGCTGTTTCAACATCACTGTGACTCACAAAACATGATTTTAGTCAGAAGTCAGGAGTTTGTGCTCTGATTTTTCCACAAATGTCCGAGTGGATAAAAGGTTGACTTGGTGGTAGTTATTATTCAAAAGGTCAAAGGTCAGTTTCAAAAACATCATGATGTTCTGCACAAACCAGCTATAGTTCAGAAACACAAGCAGGGACAGTGATCATATTTCACATTTGGTTGGACTCTAACTTGCTGACACTATTCTTGGCTGCCCACCTATTTAATGTCCTTCAAAGTCTTTAATATGTAGATTATATGAGTCTGGACTGACATGGATGTAAACTGCAGCTGGACTGCACTGGTTAGTGGATTTGTACAGCTACAAGGCTTGATCCTACTTCTTCTTTGATTCTACTTTGGATCATGCAAGAAACGCCACAGCAGCAGGAGTCGTCACATTTACTGTAAAATGTGAAACGTTGATCTTACTTAAACACATCTAGGAGTAAGCAAATATAACCATTAGTCTTAAATTCAGTTTACTTCATATCTACTTGTAAAGTTTGCTTAAAATTTAGCTGTATTTACTTAATTTTGTGAACTTCAAAATAGCATAATAGTATAATGGGGCGGCTGTGGCTCAGGTACTCTAAAAAGTAATTCAGGGGATCTTTAGTCATTACTTAAATATCTATATTGTTGTGAAATAAAAAATCAAGTTCTGAGATACTGTTTGACTTTTTGCTTGTTATTGTTATTTTATTGAGCTCGGATGACACAGAAATGATGCCTGTTGATTCAACATACCCTTACTGACTTGTCAGAGAATAACATTTTCAGTTAATCATGAAATAATCAAATTTTAAGTTCTGTTAATGTAAAATACAATTTGATGACGTATAAACGCGCCCCCCGCTCCATCGCCCGCATGCGCGAGCGGCCATGTTTAAGGCCAGAGGAGGGCAGACACGGTGACCGTTGATGCTCACTGAAGCGATTTGGTGAACGGTAAGTCATTTTATGCTTTATTACACATATTTACATTCGCCCAGGATTCTGCTGGCGACAGCCTATACTGTAACCGAAAACCGAAATTTACCATGGCTAAATAATAGTTGGCCAAGTAGCCAAGGAGAACGTCCTTGCAAGCCAAATTAATGTGGGATTAGCCATTAGCCACCGCTAGGGTTAGCATGTAGGCAAGCTACGTTTATAAACTGCAAGCAGCTACCTCATTTATTTTTTCGCTAGCTGACTTACAAACTGTCACACAAATGGGCTGTGTGTAAACACAGCGGCTTTTCACCTTTCAGTCAGGTAGAGGCGGAAAACCAACGTGGCGGCTCGGTAACAAACTTTCTCTTTTATTACGACAAAACATTTGAGGCGAGAAGTATGCTGTGCAGTTTCAGAATCTGTCCTTGTTTCGGTTCTAGAGCGGCTAGTTTAGATGTTGTACGAAAGTTCCTCTAGGCGGAGGACCTCCGCTCCCCGCGCCGGGAGTTCAAATTTTCTAACGTTATGCAAATGAGCTGCAGGCAACTCGGGGGCACCGCCGCGCTCCTCCGCTTGGATGGCCCCGCGCCGCTGGAAAACCCGAGGCGCGGAGTTCCACATACACAATGAATGGAGGCGGTACAATTTACGCTTCTAGTGGACACGTAGCATGATCTCTGTCGGGATTTCAGTTAACTGTCACCATCTCTTGCTCATCGTCTCATCAGCTGATGCTTGCGCACAAACACCATCCTCATCTTCCTCAGACTGTCTTGTAATCTTTTGATTTAAACTGCTTCTTCTTCACAAAGACAGCAAGGCTGTATAGCTACCTGTAATTTCTGGGGGATTCCTGCTGAGCTTGGCTAAAGAATTTTTCTCAAGGTCATGAAAGAAGAGCAGATATAACACACGGGAATGACTGAATATCATTTGGAAAAAATTCTAATCATTAATAGTGTCCATTATCATTAATAGAGCCCACCGGCAAAACAAATAAGGTTGGATTTCTGGGCAACTTAGCCTCATGGGAAACACAGAAAATGGCCTTTTTATAGGACAGGGCTCAACTTAAATCTTGTATAGGTCAACTTAATCATTAAGTTCCTGTTACTTAGAAATGTGTTTTAGTGTGGCTTAAAAGGTAATTCATCGTACTCAAAACATTGTGTTGGATCAACTTATAAACTTTCATTCATGTTGATAAGTATTAAGTTTTTGTCACTTAGAAATGTGTTTTATTGTGGCCTAAAAGGTAATTCATCGTATTCAAAACATTGCTTTGAATTAATGTAATTCTGCCAGCAGTTGGCTTAGCTTAAAAATTCTAGTGGAAAACGTTAACATATTTTTTTTTTGTTGGTCCAGTGTTTTATTTTTTAGAGTGGGTTGTCCACTGATGGCAAGGTTGGCGGTTCGATCCCCCGCAAGACCCTGAACCCCAGGTTGTTCCCACACTCTAAAAAATAAAACATCTCCGAACTTGATTTTCTATTTCACAACAATATAGATATTTAAGTAATGACTAAAGATCCCCTGAATTACTTTTTAGAGTGCAATGTGCCTTGCATGGCAGCTCTGTCACCATTGGTGTGTGAATGCAAAACACATTGTAAAGCGCCTTGGGTACCGCTAAGGTAGAAAAAGGCGCTACATAAGTGCTTACCATTTTAATGAATTTGATCTTTGTGTTAGTGTTAGAAACTTAAATAATAATAACTGATCAGATTTATAGAGCGCTTTTCTAGACACTCAAAGTGGCTTTACACACATTCATCCTGGTGGTGGTAGCTACGACTGTAGCCACAGCTGACAGAGGCGTGGCTGCCATTCTGCTTCCGACCACCACCTCAAACAATCTATTCATACGCATTCACACCAGGCAAGGTGGGTGAAGTGTCTTGCCACAACGACCATGACACCGGTTACAGGGCGGAATTGAACCGCCGACCTTCTGATCATTGACGACCTGCTCTACCCCGTAAAATTTCTGGAAACTTCTCCTGCACTTCTCTACTGCACATGTGCACTGCTGAGCTCTGTGTTCAGTCCAGGAACAGAACGTTTCAAGTCCAGTTTACTCAAGTGTACTTAGTTTAATAACTCTTTAAGGAAAAATGAGTACATACTCACAGTTCATGAGTTAAATGAACAGGACAATGAGGAATAAGTAAAGTACACTAATGTGATTCAAGTAAGCATAGGTATTCCCTTTCAGAGTGTGTACATTCTATTAAAATAGAGCGTTTTGTGCATTTGTACTTTATAAGCATTCCTGTCTGTTATTGAAAGCATAAAGAGCAAAGCAACTTGTTCTGTTCTAAATATAGAAGCTTGCTCACTAAAATAAGTGCATATTTTATGGTAGTGACCACATATGGGAACAAACGTAACACAAGCTTCACTAAGGGCAGTAAAAAAAATACGTTTTTGAAATGTTATGTAACAACATTTGAAAAGACCTTTCTGCTCTCTGTCAAAATGCATATCTGGACATATAGACAGAAAATGATGGATTAGGTCTAAAGGTTGCCATCACAATAGATGCTTGTGTAGTTTTGTTCTTTGTTATGTGGACTTGTCATCAGTGTGTCAGAAAAAGCTGTTTGTCACTGTGGTTAAATTCCTTACCTAGCTGTTGTACGTGTTGCGAGGAAAAGATAAAGACGGCATTTGCTCGTGATGAGTGGTACAGTAAAGACTTTCGTGGAAATGTTTCAGTAAATCTGTGAATGACGTACTTTGACAGGTTTGCTTGTGTGATGGACGTGACAATACTGCAGCTGATCCACCTGAATTCCTGCCCAGCAAATCCCATAACTGACATCTGATAATTGTTATTTTTAATTCTGATTAATGATGCTGCCAGGAGTTTGTATTATGAGTTAGATCATTTGTGTGACACAATAACCAAGACGACAGCACGCATTTAATCACTCAACTGACCATATTCGACACATATTCCCTTTAATCTGATTAGAAATATGTATATTTTTAAACAAGGAGTCGTGTGTAGATGCCACAACATCCTGTCAAATAATGACAGTGCGGTGACAAGTGTAATCCTCAAGACACGAGTGACATAACCAGGAAGTGTTTTATCGCTGAAATACCACTTACAGTCTACGTAATAAGCCAACGTGCTGAAACACACAATTGTCCCACAAACAATGACAGCAGAGTCTTTTGTAGGATTTTCTAAAAAATGTTCCACTCTGACTGTTTCTCAACTGCGAGACATGTTAAGTATTTGCTCCTTCTCACATTGTGTTTGCAAGAGTCCACGTGGGGCTGGTTTGTCCACACCTTTAGAAATGCATACAGCAGTACACGGTTTAATATAAAAAGGGCAGAATTCTGATGAAAATCACAATCAAGTTTTAATCAAGATATTACATCAGTTAAACTAAAATGAAAATCCTAATATTTCCTACTACATACTACTTTTATTCTAGCTGCCTTTTTAGCCAGTTACCCTCAATACACCCTTAATGCTTACAGTTTAAACACTTACTATGGCCTCTAAGTTGTGGACAAATATAATGATATTGGATTACTTTAACCTTTGTCCTGAAAATTAATGCAAAAGGAACAAGGAAACAGTTCAGCTGTTGGCTGTGGGGTGCCTCATGGGAGGGGCAGATCTCATGGAAGGGGACAGGTACAACAAAGTATATAAAGAGTGACACACAACAACTGTGCAGTCGCACAATGGCTGTGAGCAGATGGATGTTCGTATTTACTCTGGTGAACCTTCTGGCTCCAGGTGAGTCTCTCGTTAGATAGAACCAACGACTTGGTTGGATGCAACCTTTCTTTACATTGTGTTTTGTGTATAGAGAGCTGACGTACTGAAGACTTGATTTTTATATTCTTATCCATCACACAATATCATCAGGGAGACAGCTAACTGGTTGAAAACTCAACAGATTGTTTAAAAAAAAGCAGAACTTTTGTGCAAGCATTCTTCAGTGAATTGGTCCTGTTGTAGGCAGAAGGGCAGAAAATGGTCACACCAAATAGTGATTTGATTTAATTTTACTGATTGGTCCAGTGGATAAATAGCTTTTACTGGCAGTTATTATTATTGTTGTTGTTGTTATTATTATTATTATTATTATTATTATTATTATTGCTGTTCTGTAAAGTATTAATACATGATTATTTAACTAAAACTATTACTTACAGAACAAAAATGTATACTTCTATTAAAAACTGAAGCCTACTTACCATTTCTTTTTTAAATGTAATATTCTTCTGTTGTCCCTGAGATGAATTACAATTAATCAGTTTGCATTTTCTCTTTTCCAGAAACACATGCTCAACTTGATGGTGGGTCAAAATAAGGATTTCTCTACATTTTATCAAAATGATTCAAGTGCTGCAGTTTAATATTGAGATCTGAAAACCAAACATTTTATAGTGTATTTTTAAGTAACTAATTGAAAGAGTTTCCACAAGCTTTTAATTTGTCTTTACTCTGGTTGCTTCTCAACTTTGGCCCAACTCTTCTCTTTTTCAGTATGCGGCACTGCTCCACTCAACACCAGGATAGTTGGAGGTGAAGATGCTCCAGCTGGAAGCTGGCCCTGGCAAGCCAGTCTGCAGATATTTGGAAGTCATGGTTGTGGTGGTTCCCTCATCAACAAAGAGTTTGTGCTTTCAGCTGCTCACTGCTTCTCTGAGTGAGTGGAACCAATTCTATGTGGTCGTTATTACAAACCGAGACAGGACTGTGGTTTGGCAAATATTTGTCTAAGAAGGAAAACATCCGACTGGAGATGCTGAATAGCGAAATTGCCGACATTCCTCAACCACTTTACACACAGAAATATTATCAGACTGATTCATTCTTCTAACTGTTTCATATTATATTTAACTTTCAGCTCAGATCCAGAGGGTTGGACTGTCGTGTTAGGTCGGCAAAACCAGCAGGGTACCAATCCAAATGAAGTGTCCAGAACTATTGCGGAAGTAATCTTACATCCCAACTATGACAGCATCACCAGTGACAATGACATTGCTCTGCTCAGACTCTCCTCACCAGTCCAGTTCACAGACTACATCAGACCTGTGTGTCTGGCAGCAAGTGACAGTGTGTTCAACAACGGCACTGATAGCTGGGTCACCGGCTGGGGAGCAGTTGCAGAGGACGGTAAGTTTGATTCTCGCTGTTTAATAGGTTTTGTGTATTGCTTTGTGTAAACTTTCTCTCCTTTTCTCGTCTCTCCTTAGTGTGGTTACCGTTTCCTGGAACTCTACAAGAAGTGGAGGTGCCAGTTCTGGGAAACAGACAGTGCAACTGTTTGAATGGAGTCGGCACAATCACAGACAACATGATCTGTGCTGGTGTTCTGGCAGGAGGCAAAGACTCATGTCAGGTAGGCTGCTTACCATAACGACGTAACTACTTGTCAATTCAGGACACTATTCAAATAATAGAAAGCTTTTTTTTATTTTTTTGAAAAAATAATAATTAATAATACGTCAGATTTAATGTTAATAAACTATGTCAACACCCTAAACCACACATACAAAAATAAGGTGGGGGTAAATGGATACAGGACTGATAGGAGCTTAGATAAGCAGTGATCATTTCTGAATCACTTTGAAACGGAGAATCCAATTGTAGTTTCAAAAGTCCCCCCTTTATCAGAAAGAATGGCTGTGTTGCTTTCCAGTTCATAAAATAGTTGCTGTGTCATTGCGCCAATGTCATTTTGCTAGTAACACAAGTAAAGCTGCACTAAAGAAATGCTGTCAAATGAAAGCCCAGCATCGATGCCCACAGCAAAAAAGAAAGGTGACCCCACATAGAAAAATTGTCCAGTTGCATTCTAGTGAACATATGTGAACATAGTGAATCCCTCTAGTTAGACTGCCTATGAATAGAGACCAAATACCTCCAGGACTGACTTTAAAGCCATTCTTTAAATATCTATATCTGCTTGTTGAACAAATACGATGAATAAATATCTGAGGTTCTGATGCCCAGCTGTTTAAAATGAGCTACTGTCTGAGAGTAGATGTGAGACGGGGAAGTATGTGTCCACAGACTTAGCATTTGCTTAATACTGGTCCTGAAAAATGCCAGAGTGTCTTGGACTACTGAGTCATCATCACAGTTGCTTGTCAGAGTTACTTCATTCTAACCGTGCAGTTCATTCTGACGTATAAAAGCTGGTGAAGAGGACGGTTTCTCTTAGTGTTGTAGTCAAGACCACCTAAACCGAGACCAAGACATGGCCGAGACCACAGTGTATCGAGACCGAGACAAGACCAAGACTTTGAGGGGTTGAGACCGAGTCAAGACCGAGACCAATACAAAGCGAGACAGAGTCCGAGACCATACCAAATTTAACTTAACCATTTTATTCAACACTTAGTCAATGTAATTTTAAGGCAAGTGTAAGGTTGCCTGTAATACTCTTGTCTGCAACTGCAAACAAACATTTAATACGGAATGTATCAAACAAACAGCCAATACTACAATTTTATCTTAAATATTAAATGACCACACCAGTTAATTTTCTTACTTCAACACTGGCATTAGAATCATTTTCAGAAAGAGGATAGGTGTGCATTTTTTTCTTTTAAGTACACCCAGTGTGGGAAAGATTGTGTGATTGAACAAGCCGTAGAAGAGGGAACTCACAGCACTCAAAATTGCGTTGTACATTTATTTAGTTTAATTTATATTGAAGTTACGCATTTGTTCTGCAGTTGTGTGTTTTAATTCTAAGAATTGGCACTTTAAGTATTTTTTTCAGTTTTGTTGTACTGAAATAGATTTTGTAAAAGGATGTTTGTCATGGTAGTAAACACTCCATTGTAAGCATACCTATAACTATGTTTAATCATCTAAACCAGTGGTTCTCACAACTTTTTCTGTCAGGCCCCCCTTCGAAGGACAAAAATCTTGTGTGCCCCCCTCACCTTAAATAGTCATGAAATGAGTCAGTTTAAATTTGCTGAAATTAAATATCATGAGCAGTCAAATAGTGCAGCAACAACCTGCTCAGTGATCGGTGACAGTAACGGTGGGAGGACAGCCTTCAGTTTTGTGATGGTAGTCTCATCAGTCATTGTTGACACCATATCTAGAGCAGTGGGCAGCAGGAGATCCTCAGCTGTTGAATTGTGTCTTGCGATTCTGTTACAGAGCTCCAGACTAACTTTTCTAGTGGTAGCATGGTGCTACCAACTTTCTTCACTGGTCGCACCACCTAATGATCTGGTCGCCCCACTCCCTTATTTTGGATCAGCATTGCCACAGCTATTAATGCCCCATGCAGCTGATGAATAGTTGCCATTGCATCACTTAGTTATGATGCAATAATCTTCAGAGATACGACTAGACATTTGTAAAATGTTTTTATCTTATAATACACTTATTTTGTCACCAATCCTCTTCTAATACCAGTCATTAACTGGACACAGGCTAAACAATTGCTGAAAGTGTCCATAGGTAGATGCTACATTTTACCGATGTTCCCCAAACACCTCACATGCTGCTCCGGTAGATGGTGCATTTTACCGATGTTCCCTGAATGCCTCAAATGCTGCTTCGGTAGATGCTACCAGGTGCGCTGTGTTTTCCTTTTGACGTCGATTTACAGATAAGTTGTTTATGATTAGAAAAGCCAAACTTTATTACAGCAGAGTTTGCTGACATCTTTCCCAGGGAGCAGACTCCTTCTCCCGCATTTACTGTAGTGGAGTGCCTGTGAAGAGGGGCGGGGCGGGGTGACAGGCCACAGCCCGTAAAAAAAAATCCAAATTAAAAATCTGTTAAACTATTGGTTACATTCGAAGCGGGGAGTTTTGCATCCAATAACAACAAAGCTATGACTAAACAAATGAAACAGTTCAGAGGCAGCTTAGTGCGGTCCTTGCAGCCGTGGTCTCGGCTGGTCTCGCAGTAAAATCCAGAGTCCTCTGTGGCCGAGACCGAGACAATACCGAGTAAAATTGCGGTCGAGTCCAAGACAAGACCGAGATCTTCAAAAAGTGGTCTCAAGACCGAGACCGATCTCGAGTACTACAACACTAGTTTCTCTGCTACGAGAAATTCTGGGAAGGTTCACAACTGACAGTTTGAGCCCCAGTCAGACGCTGGAAATGGTTCCTGTTGTCTCTACGAAGGTGTTCAGCTGGTAATGGTTGGCTAGTTGGTGCCTAGTGTACATGTTTCCTTTGAACTGAAGTCTTGGTTACTCGTCCTCTCAAATGGTGTCTTACCAGATTATCAGTGATCAAAAAGAGTCCTTGCATTCTATGGGTACGTGGTTTGGGATGCATCATGCAATAAACTTGTTTGTCATTTCCTTGATATGCTCAAGCTGCTTCATTTCATTGGTCATCAGATGGTAAATATGTTTAGGAGATTGTAAAGTTTATAGAGTGTCCTATCCATCTTCTCAGGGAGACTCAGGAGGTCCAATGGTGAACCAGCAGGGCTCGGTGTGGGTCCAGTCTGGAGTTGTCAGTTTTGGTTTTGGCTGTGCTCGGCCCAATCTGCC